GACACAACGACCTACCGATACCGAAAGACCGACAGACTGAGACAGACACAACGATCCACTTACTGGTCTAGGCAACAGTTTTCCTATAGGCGAAGCCTCCGACGGGTGTGGCCATGCTGAGCGATGTGAGACCGACCGATTTCAGCATTCGCGATGGAGATGTCCTTTCATTCGATTTTTGTTGACTTCTATTTCATTCGGAGAATCGGGCTTTGATTTAAATCGAAGTCTTCGAGAATGATCAACAAAATCACTTTCCCCGATTTTCTTTGGAACTGTCGATACCATGTGGTCATCGATATGGAGCTTCTGCTCAGACGAATCAATAGAGAAACTGGTGATCGGGAAAATTCCATCTCAAGGTTTAGAACGGAAGTAGTTGGAACTGTTCAGCGACATCAATCAAGCTATGCACTGTGTCAACGCCAATACACATTCCTGCAATTTCTCAGGCCACAAATTGAAACCATCCTCGCAAAACTCGTCATCCTTTGATTCGAGTCAACCAGTCATTTCTCTACGGAAAAGATTGATGGCTAGGGAATTGATTCAGTGATGGGAAATGTTGCCCAATCGTAACTTAAGTTTCGTAGATGAAAGAGGAAGCGATTTTGAAACTTTAGGCGGCAAATTGAGTAGGTTCCATCTCTAGGTGACTCAGATGCTTACTTCAAACGTCTTGAAATGCTAGATTTCCTCGAAAAAAAAAGGAAATGGTAACCAATTCTTGACGATTTTTTAAAACTGGGGATTTTTCAAAAAAATTTTGTGAGTGGAAAAAGGAAGCAGTTTCAAAAATCCGTGCAAAAAAACAGAGTTTTCAATTTGTCAGCAAAATCTATGTGCCCACTTTACTATACAACAGCACAGTACATTGCAAGAGCATACCCAAGTACTGGCAGATAACTATATGTTCTATGCTATTAAATAAGTCAAGCAATCTGGAAACCATTTTACTAAGTCTTCCTTTCCAACAAAAGTAATTCAAGTAGGGATCAATCATAAAGGATAAGGATGAAGCTTTGTGGCCCCGATCAATCTTGTTTTAGGATACGCCATTACATTCGATTTCCCACAGAACTATAGTGGCGATTGAAGGTTATATTGCACCTTTTCGCTTTTTTCATTTAAAAACAAATAATCCACGAGGGGACGAATTAATTATTCGCGAAAATACGGAATTTCTCACGCTTTTCATTTTCAAAAGTTCCTCATTTTTTATGTGAAGCTCAGTACTACGCTCAGCTTGAAGGTTTTGTTAGACGGCCTGATCGATTCGGCGTAAGTTTCCTTCCAAGGAGTGAACCCAGGAATGTCATATTTACCGTGAGCGACAAAAAGCTATCGTAACAGAAGTGATACTACCCATCGCCATTCCCTGCAAAAACAACGCAGTGATGAATGATGGGAAGAATTTGCATTGACTTTTATTCTACAGTTGAAATCGATCAATCGTATTGAGTTCTTCATATACGAGGAAACGGTGGAAATGATAATGATTGGCCACTACCGATCGAACGCAACTGGACATTCAATAGAGGGCAGATATCAAGAAATGCATAAAAACCTTTTTTATGGCTCTTCCATGCCGATCTTCACCCTTTCCCCCTCCCCCCTCAAGCTAGAAGAGGTCCATATTATAGCCTAATTAGGAAATCCTTCGAGGTGACGGGTTTATAGCCCAATACTCGCTACCGAGACCCTTCCATCCAGAATGATTGAGATGAAGTTTGTGTACTCCTCTCTGGGTTTCCGCTCTCCCACCCGCCTAGTCCCCCAAGCTCCCCCTCCCCCACACCTGCTCACCTTCCAGGTGCCAACTTCTTCTTGGGATAATGGATGATTCACATGGGCATAGTACCCTTGGGTTATTGCAATCGCTGTGTCTATCGGACATCATCCGTTGGAAATGGCACGTCATCCTGCTCATTACAGGCCAATGCCATTCTGGACGAGCTCTCTCATCATCACTATTTCTACATATTCATTCATTAATAACACAATCGGTGTTCTGTTGGCTTCACACGTGGCAACGTCTGAGAATCGGAGAATTCCCGAATACAATTTCCGTCGAGCAATGAGTCACCGTTCAATATAAGAACACTCCAACAGCGCTTTTTCGTGATATTTCGCGATCATTCAGTCATGCTGCCTTCAACCAGTTCACTGTTACTGAACAAACAACGCATTTCTCCCTTGAGCTGATTCACTGATGGGTACTGTTCTTCCCAGTGATCGTTTGTCTTCAATTTTTCTCTGTTCTATCTGGTACAGCCCTGCATGAATCATGTTGAATGCCTAGGATGTCTGAACCTCACCCAGGACCCATTTTGACGGTCAAGCCAGCACTCAACCAGGGGCAGGATAAACTAAGGGATTGCTACTTCTTCATAGGAAAGCCGGCAAAGAAACGAACACCAGTGAAACACATGACAGTGACTCAACAGAAGTGGGCCGCGACCGGTCATGAGGGGTAAGAGGGGGGAGGAAAGGCTGTAATGAACACAAACTGATAAAATTAAAGACCTTGTTTTTGATTTTACATTCGGCCTCATGCTCTTTCCATCCCATTTCTTCATAACATGGCAACTGGGTTTATGTGTGGAGTTACCTTCTTCCTTCTTCTGTACTCCTAACCGGAACCTACCGATAATCTCCCAACTGGAACCTACCGTTTAGGGGTACTCTTCTGAATTATGAGAAGTTTCGGTAAGACACTAGTTACTCAGTGATGTTTTCATAATAAAAGTGAAGTAAATAAAACCCTAAATAAGGTCTGAGACTTTAAACTCTCTTCATTATCATATTCAAGGGATCGATGTCCAGGAGGCCTGTTGTTTTCAGGCGTCAGTCAATCCGCTTCTGTAGACCCGCCTATCTCACTAAAAGCTCCTCTTCGCCAGCCTCACTTTCTCCCCAAGACTTGCCCATCTTATTAAAAATGCTCTTTCCGAAAATGACAAAATTTTTTTTNAAATTTTCAAAATTCTGGTACAGCTGCTAGCTTGTAGAGAGGTATTGAGGGTGAGATGTCAGCCAGAATGTTTGCTTTTCTTCTTGACCCGACAAATACAATATAACAAAGACCAAGGGCGTATGACGAGGATGGTTCAATACGTTAATAACGGGTAACAAATCATCGATCATGATAGTTTTTCGATCGCCCCCGTCACGATTCTCATTGAAAGGTTTCGTTGTCAAGGACAGGTCCTATTAGTTCGGAGTATACACTACCCAAGGGTACGCCCCCACCTCTCTTTTACCCATCCTCCCTTCCCCATACCGTGCCCTTGTTTTGTTCCACTCCCAGGTCTTGCAAAGGGAGAAGGCACTTTACTTTCAACCAGTCACTGCCTTATTATTTTCATTTGGGCTTGTACACATCCACTGCACTTTCGCTTTCTTTCAAAAATTCCTCCCTGTGGAAATGAATTTCAGTGGCGTTCGCGACTCGAAGGATTCCCTTTTGATTATTGTTTATGACCAATAAACGGAATCATTACAAAGAAATCGTTAAAATTAGATTTTTGAGAGCATCTGTAGCAATAACAAATTCTGTTCGATGACCAACTCCTCCTCGATCATTCAATCTGATTTTTAAAAACAAGTAAACAGAAATGAGTAATACCATCGTTTTGTATTTCAATTGTCGTGACGAATTGGCCAAATTCCGAATCCTTCTCTAATCTAACGAATATTCAAAAAAAAAGTTTCAGATGAAATATTTACTGCTACTCGCCTTTGCTACCACTGCCTCCGCCATCAACCTTATTGGTAGGACTCAATCGACTGCGGTGAGTTACTTGAATAAGTTGGAATTGCTGGTGCATTAACAAAAAATATCCGGAGACATTGGAATGTTATCAAAATCATCAAAAATAAACCAGAAGAAACAACACCCTACCGATTTTTCTGAAGGTGTTGATCTTGAGTGCTGTAGCCGTTTTTCCAATCATTCAACTTTGTCGATCCCCTATCCATGTAAAGCAATAGAAATAGTGATAATCAAGGGGTATTATTACTCGAAGTTACCGTATGATTGTCTACGGCCATAGGCGGTCTTTACGCTCTTTTCAAATATAAGCTTGATTTCGCTTTGGCATATCGGCGTGATGGTCTGGGTTGAACCCGGCTACATTCGCCCAGGCCATCCAATACTTCCATTCTTCCGGGATCGGTTGATTGACTCCAAACTGGGGTGGTGAGAGGGGGATAAAAGCTCTGACTCTTACACCGTCTAACCATCACAAGTCATTGTATAAGTCCCAGCATTCAAACGCCACTATGGTTCTGTGGGAAAGTCGAATACGGGAGAGCATCCCTCAGAGCGGATTGATCAGAGCCAGAAGAATTTATCTTCCACTCCTTACCAACTTTCTACGGGCTAACTTCTCCGCTCATAGTACTTCTAAGAACTAATGAGTCGTGTATTCGAGTGAAACGGAAGCCTGTAAGGTGTCCTACTCCTTATTACGATTTCCAAACATACCATGTAGGGACCTTTTTGCACTAACTGGGGCACATATCAGTAAATTGGAGCTCAGCCGGGGAACTGAGCCAAAAATACTACGAATGCCCAGATTAGCTCCCAGAGACTATGTAAATGAGTCATGCTATCGATCGCATAAGCCAGTAATCTGTAGTGCTCTTGGACTCTGGTCATTGAAATGAGGTACAGCTGGGGCCATATTTACAGTTTTATCGTATGTAAAGAGAAAAAATAATACACAGCTAGTTCACGCTCTGAACTGAAGCGTTAAACTGAGCTTTGTACTTTACGGTCTTCTCATTATACAGCATTGGTTCAAAGGCACCCAATTTCAAGATGAAAAGAGGAAGTGTTGATAAAGAGTTGTGCATCGGTCGAAGAAAGCGAGGGAACTTGCCTACTCCGCGAAAAACAAGGCTTTTCAAAAGCTTTGGAAATAGAGTTTGTACGAGACTACCACGACGGAAATGACATGGAAGGGGTATCGGATGAGACTTCAGTTATACTGCGCAAAGAGCTAGTTACTTCAAGTCAAAATTACCTGAAACTGCCTTTCGCTGTAACCATGGGTCATGAAGAGCTATTTAAACTTCCAACATGGAAGATGCAATGTCTGGCCCCTTGTTGTGCCCTATCTAGAACGTTTCTCGACCTGATATTAGCATTTATGGTATCAGGAGGGCCCTCGAATCCATTCTACAGGTAATTGTCAGAATCATTCTTTTCTTAAACTATGCCTTTAACTTTGACATTCGCCAACAGAACAAAATCCTTTTCCATATGAAAAACCCCGATCTTATGAGTTAACCAACATTAAATGACTGTTTGCTTGTTTACAACAGGGCTAGCTATTTTAGGTTCGAGGAAAACTGACATGCAATGGGAAGCCAGCCGCCGGCGTTCGTGTAAAACTTTATGATTCTGACAGTGAGTGATTCCAGTCTGTTCAAAGATTTCTGTAACGACGTAGAAAACTGTACTGTGCACCGATTGGTATGCAAAACAGTTTTCAAACCAGTTCTGATGATATTCTCAATGTTATTACCCGACGTCACTGAAACACTACCTTCGCTCCACCCTGCAAGATGTTTACTAGCCGTAAAATGCAACACAACGCCGTTTACACTGCGATCCGGCGTCATGACCTTAATATTGTTCTGCCGGTCACATTACACAACAACCGAACCGAACAGGCTTCTTACTAAGAAATGGCATAGTTCATTACGATCCAAAAAAGCTACTTACAAAGTTTCTTTCAATACTTTCGGGAATTTCCGTCAAAATGCTGTACGGAATGGGAACTTTACGGTTCAGAGGGCAAATCTCAAGTCCTGAACCGCCTCGAGGCCTTTGAGGAAGATAGTATGCAGGAACGGCCGATTATTAACAGCTTCACCTAACAACTCCATCGGCACAGCAAAATCTCAAGAATCATCCAATTTTACTGTTATAACCGGACTCTAGAGGAATAGAATTGCCAAAATCTCCAGCAGAAAAACGAAAACTAGTTGTTTTCAGACAGTATTCTGCCCGGAGTTGTCGATACCGATGACTTGATGGCGTCAGGAAAGACTGACTCGAATGGCNTTACTGTTATAACCGGACTCTAGAGGAATAGAATTGCCAAAAATCTCCAGCAACTCTGAAAAACGAGAACTAGTTGTTTTCAGACAGTATTCTGCCCGGAGTTGTCGATACCGATGACTTGATGGCGTCAGGAAAGACTGACTCGAATGGCGAATACAATCTATCCGGTAGCACGAAAGAAATCACAGGAATCGAACCCTATCTTGCTATTTACCACGATTGCAACGATGGTATCAAGGTTAGTAAGGTGTACAGAATGTACAATACAACGCTCATATCTACTATTTAGGCAGAACCTTGAAGTATGCTCCCGAAGTGAATGTTGACTAGTAGTGGGGTTAATTCTTACCCTTGAAGCCAATTTAGAACAGAATTTTTCTAAAAGAAGTGACATTGAGTTCTAGAGCTTAAGGGTTACTTGCACGCTCACGAGTCAGAAAATTCCATCTATCCATTTTTGTAATAATTCTCGTAAAATTTCCCTAAAGATCTACATTTTTTGAAAACACACCGGCATATTCGTCAATTTTCAGCCTTGCCAACGTACGTTCCGTGTCGGAATCCCATCCAAATATGTCACTAATGGAAAGTCACCCAAATCAACCTATGAAGCCGGTCAACTGGAACTAGCCGGAAAATACCCGAAAGAGGGACGAAGCTGCCTTAACTGATTTCACTGATTAAAATTTACTGCTAATAAACTTGATGAATTCAATAAACTTCTGAAACTGTATGTTTTCTGAATACCTTTAGTTTCCAGGTATGCTGCATTGGTACACTTCATGAAAGTCTAAGGAATGTCTATTTAATACTAATTCTTTTAAACAAAGTTTGGATCTCTTCGCTAGGACGGAGATAAGTAAAATTGAAAATTAAATGACTAAAGTATAAAGCACTGGAATATATAGAAGCGGAATTGAATAACCCGCTTCTTGAAGTAAGCAAAAAATGTTGGGAATGGGAAAAGCTGTAAGTTACAATGAAGGAACCATCAGCCTTATTTATACCAAGTAAAAAGGATGAAGTTCATGGCATTAATCAGTCCCGTCTGAGAGATGCGCCCCGCACTCGACTTCCATTCCGTATCGCGGTGGCGTGCTGAAAGCGTATGGTGCCTATACAATGACTTGCAATGGCCGGCCGATGTACAAGTCAGTGCTTTTTTCCTCCCAGACGAGTCTGGTACCAATTAACTGACCCCGGAGGGATGGAAGGCTCGGCTAGCCTAGGCGGTTATCGATCCTGGATTCGAACCCTAACCGTGCAAGTGAGATAGTGCGCCACTTGTCACTACTCCACTCCCGCCCACATATTTGTACAATCAATCATCAAACCTACATTCCGGACCTAAATTGAAGAAGATTCAGTGCTTCACGAATTAAAAGACTTGCAATATCATCTGTTCCAAAGTAAAACGGTAATACAAGAGCAGGTGGCAGCGGAAAAGGGGATTTTAATAATAATTATAAACAATAAACCATAAATAAACAAATAAAACACCTTAAGTTAAAATTTTCCTTTGCCTTTGCTCTGTTACCTGTCACTGTGCAATTTCCCTACACATAATACTAATTTCTAATATAATTCCAGGTGATAATCCACAATCCACTAAGCTACTTCTCGTAATCCCCCGATCCATGCTAAAAATGAGGATAGCGGACCAATCATCAAGAAAACAGAACATATTTGGAGGTGTAAGGGAACCTACAATAGGAGTTAACCTTGCATGAGACCAAATTTTTTAATTTTCGACATTCTGACTTGTACTAATGAATAAATAACTAATTAATTGGTGCAAACAAATGTAAATAAAACCTGATAATGAAGTGCACTGGCGCTGATCAATCCCGTTCTAGGGTGCCATGCATTTGACTACCATTAAGAATCGTGGTAGTATTTGAATGTACGTGCAGCAATGACCTTCGCTGACCAGCCGATGTACACGCCAGTGCCATTGTACTTCCAGATGAGCCTGGTACCAGTTCACCGATATGGTTAACTGGTACGCAAGGATATTTATCCAGGATTGGATTCGCAGACCGGGCGGGTGTTAGAGCGTCACTCGGCACTACATCACCTCCGTCCCAAACGATAAAAAATAAACAGGGATACGTCTCCCAGTGACTAATCGTCAACAAGGTAGATATCGAGGGTTTTTCGAAAACAGGATTGATTCCCCTTTCTTTCACAACTCACTTTGTTGAAGGTCTGACAAATTCTCAGCTGATGCTCTTCCAACTATTCTGTTCACTGGTGATATATCGCCGCTTATCCTCACAACTTTACAACTTGGCAGCATTGATCAAAAGACTCTTGCTGTTGCTATGTAGCTTACGATTCCCATTGCTACCTCTCACTTCTCTCCTCTCATTTTTTCAGAAACTAATCAATCTAGGCTGATCAGCTCTAGATCGATTCCAACTGAAGTCACTTCTATACATTAACACGAGAAGATGTTTCCGTTCTATTCACCATATGAAGAATTCCATTACAAATAAATCCATTTTAACTTCATGTGAAAATAAAAACAATAAGTTTTGTATAGGACTATCATCTAGTGCTACTTGACATTTCTACAGGGCCACTGGTTAAATTTTTACGAGCCGTGTCCTTTCTGGCTATGCCTCCCGTACATTACATACCACCAAAATAAGGAACGGTTCAAAACAGTACAGGGAACTTCCACGGTGGTTGCCAGAAGCTCTTGCCTGGACATTCACTGCAAAGTTGTACACTGTGGAACAAGCTAAGACTTTAAGTCAAGCTGTTTCGTAAGAAACAGCCCTTATGAAGGTTAAATCCCCACTTAACGATAGCAGAAGATCCAGGGCTCTGGAAAATTGCGAGCTGTTGAACCGACTGGCCGCTAGCCACATCTCCAGGAGGTCCTTTCCTAACACGATGATGCTCCCTCACTAACTTGATCCAGATGAAACCTGGTCCGCCGAAGGTTTGGTCACTTTTCAAGGTGTCGTTCCCTTTGAATGATTTCAAAGTCAAATTTTATCTATGCAATGTAATCTCAGAAGACGAACATTGAACCTATTACTTTGGTAGTATTCCAATACTATGAATTGTTCCTAAGAGAGTTCACTACTTCGTTGAAGGTCGACAGCTGCTTTTGTTACTATTTTTTCAATTTCAAGGTTGAATCAGCTAAAACCTTTGACCTTTTGATTGTTGTTTTTGCCACCATTACGCTCAGTATCGAAAACAACTTGATTGAATGGATTGAGGATATCAGTGAGTCAGCGTTGGCTATTAGATGAGTCACCTGTTACCGGTTTATACTGCAATTTGACCCTCGGAGATTACAACTGTCATCCATCCACCACCTACACTGCCCTTTGTCTCCTACCAGACCAAACGAACTGTGAAAAGTCATTTCTCTCGTTGTTTACTCCAAGTTTAATCTTTAACATCTGGGCATCTGGTATCGGCACCAGACAATAACATATGCCCCCTCGTTTACGATGTGGTGAGCAATCCGACACCTGGCTTTCGAGATCTGTCAATGACTCTCTCCGAATCGTTTTTAAAGCTTGCCATCATGAAATTCACGCTGCTTTCTGGCGGAAACGATAGTTTTCGCAGCTTTACTACTGCCGCCTCATTATCTATCTCTTTTACAAGTCTATGAAGTGGCCGTTTTACCAAAGCGCCTGTTCACTCTTACCCTTTCCTGCCTACACTATTGAAGTCTTCATTGCATCTAATGAAACTATATTACCGTATCCGTAGAGCTATATATAGGCTCCTACCTTGGTAGTGAAAACTGCGTACATGACCTCAGGCTCTAAAGATTCGCTACCTTTTCCTCAACTGAGGTCTTTTTAGATAGAAGCATTGAAGAATGATCAGCTGCTCAGGTTTTTGAATCGATTTCTCTTATAAGTAGGGAATGTTGTTTGTTCGCACCACAACAGTTATCTCCTTCTAATGCGCAAAATGGAATGGGCATCAAAAATGTGACGTTCAAGCCTACCCTGAACGCAGGGACCACNCACGAACCATATCAATTCCGGTAGCATCCACAGGAAAAGTCAAATCGGGAGGGTGAGACGATAGCATTCAGATTACGTAGTTCATCGAAAACCGTTGTTTCCGCCAGCTTATGAGCTGACGTCTGGCTGTTGAGGCGATTCGGCGTTAGCGGATCATAGACCGAAGCGTCAATTCATAAACACATACTCATTGATCAGATTTCTTAATTCACACCACTGCCGTTAGAATTATTTATAGAATGGCAAATGTAATCTATGATAATCTATGATTTTTGTCTCATGTCCGTAGTAAGTAAGCAAAAGCTTCGGACAGAACTAGTCAGGACGAAGAGGGGTGAAGTTTTCGTACAGCCTTGCGGTGCTAAGCTTCCCAGAGGTTCCGCTTCCACAATAATGAACCCAGGGAGCACTACCAACTAGGTGGGCTGGTAGACAGCAATCTTATCCCGCTACCATTCCAGCTGTTTTCCTCTCTATTTGACGACTTGCTTTAGATCTCTGCGTTTGTTGCTGAACTAGCTCAGTAGAGGCTTTATTATAGCACATTTATGCGTCTATTAGATGGATAAACAAAAAAAATAATCAATTAGGTGCCGCTTCTGATTTAGGCCCCCTCACTATATGACGAATTGTGTTCATTTCTATGGTCAAACAAAATTTTTTAGGTGGAAACTTTGCTGAAAGGGGGTTGAAACATTAGGCTGAGCAATAACAGGAATTCAATTCATAATCCTACTTGGCAAAAAAAAAATTAAAAAAAAGTCGGAATCTCTAATGACTTTATTTTAGAGATTATGACAGTTTTCTTTGACCAACAGGGTATTGAAGCTAACCGCTGGAGATCTTTGATGTGCCTCTTCTTTCTCCCCCTCTTATGGCAAATTACCATAAATCATCTGATCGTTTCTCTATCGTCCATCTCTACTCCCGACTCGTTATACACTTTATCCTCATAATAAAATAGTAACTATTAATTTTTAAATTTATTCCATTCAGGTATGCGTTGTATACTTATTTGTGCCATCGTAAGCTATGCAGCTGCCGTGGAGCTATTCGGAAGAGATCAGTCATCTGCAGTGAGTCCGTTGTCTTTTTGTGGTTGATTAGGTAGGGCAGAGCCTTACTATTATAGTAACAAGCTGGCATACCAAAAGATACATTAATTGTGAGTAGTAAGTAATATTTATGCCTTGATATGAGAAAAAATGACTAAAAAACATTTTTTTCCAGGTGAAAGGCAGGCTAATGTGCGATGGAAGACCAGCTGTTGGTGTCAAAGTTAAACTATGGGACGTCGATCGAAGTAAGATCATTCAAATGTCGTTTAACTTCAAAATATTCGTTCCTGGTTTTCCTGCATAGGCTTATTTACACTTTTCAACATAAGAAAACACTTTTTCCTACAGCTACATCAATCTGCTCCCAGATGCGGTGCAAATGTGTATGAGGGCATAAATTCACGAACGAAACTCTCATAAACTGCGATAAAACAGAAAAACAATCTTCTCAGTGATTTTTGCTTTTTGGAAACCCTGGTATGATTCTCGCCAAATGAAATTTCATCGAGATTCACCATAGAATAAATTGAATAGAATAACCGCTGGGAGACAAATGGGCTTCTAACTGACACTAATTGCAACCAAGTAAACAATCTAATAAACAATGTAAAAGAGGGTTGCAAGAGGGGTGAAAAATCAATAGATAAAACATTACGTAAGGGGTGCGTAATAAATAACGAGTTTTTCATTGGACACCCATCTTTTCGGACAACCGTTTTTTAAGTCATTCTGCATCTACTAGGGGTACGAGTGACACCCGAAACGACTTAAGGATTAAAAGCGCTGACCTGGCATACGGCTCCTGTCCAAAGCTCAGCGTGTAGACCATATACATATGCATTTGCATATACTGTTGAATTGAGTGCATGGCCCATTCGCAAAGGGCTGACTAAGGTTGATCGAGTCATCCAGTACCTCTAAAGCTCTCAATATACCACCTAGTTGAACCGATATTGTATTTAAACACTCAGAGGAAAAAAAGCCTCTCACATCGAATCCCACTGCAGCGTTCCATTAAATCTCAGAAAAGGAAAAATCTAAAGACAAAGCAGCAGAAAATGAATTGATTTCTCAAACCAGAATGGAGAATAATTTTGTATTTACAACTTATTTTCTGTAAAAATAAATTTTGCAGCGGATATGGATGATCTGATGGACGAGAAAATAACCAACTCGAATGGCGAATTCAGTTTGGCCGGCTGGACCAAGGAATACACGACGATCGATCCGAAACTCAGTATCTACCATGACTGTAATGACGGGATCAAGGTTGGTACCAGTAAAGACCATGGAAATCTCGATAGTATGGGAAGTAATCGCTTCCTTCCAGCCCTGCCAACGGAAGTTTTCCATCCTGATCCCTGACAGCTATGTAAGCCATGGCAAGGTGCCAAGGAAGGTAGGTACTCTAAAATTTCCTTTAAAAATCAATCTCGAAAACATAGGGCGACCCTATTCGATTGAACTTAACAAAACGTCAACTATCAAGGGTCGATTCAATTTGTTCACTGAATGATTCAAATTATCTACAGATCATTATAGAAGCATCCTAACTGAACTCAGCTGACCCTAACGCTTACCTTTTTTGACCATTCCAACGATGCTCATGCTTTCTTTCTAAGTTGTGTGTCATTTTTCGGCATTCCTACTATTTCTACTCCTCTTCTTTCTGTGCTCCTTGACCTACGAAGTACAGGTCTCAGTGTAGTAGTGTCTACCATCCTGCGAGATGCTACTACTTTACTATTAAACGTGAACCTGGAAATCTAGCTGTGGGTATATCATGGGAAAATCTATGAATCGAAGTTCTTCTGCCTCTATCAATGAACGTTCTGTGCTGTCCGGAAATGGTTCGATTCCTCTGAAACCTTTAATCTCACCAGTTCCGATACAAGGCACTTTCTCCTATTTTCTGTGGGGGGAATCAAAGGATGGGACGGTACTGATAGGGCGAGGTGACACAACCCATTCTCTTGACCACTTTGTCACAGTTCCTACAGGATCTTTGCCTTAAGTGGGGAGTATTCAGCCCAAAAGATTAGGATTCATTCTCTAAGAAAACCAATCTCATCACAAAGTAGAAAAAACCGGGGTACTGAAAATGAGCTGTTGCAGGTTTACGACGCCGGCGTGATACAGCTTGCCGGTTCATTCCCTGGTGAAAGTAGGGACTGCATCAACTAACCTTCTGCTCTCATTCATATAGCCTTTGCCTGTGTCGTCTGTGTGTGTACTTACTCGATTGTTTCACTACTAATTGTCTATTTATTAGCAAAAGAATTTGTAAAATATGTATATTCAAGAAATAAAGGAAAATTTTGTACTGGGGATACAGCTTTATGCACTCCTTAACGCCTATCACAAATTTAATCTTTTTTGTACAGATTGGAACTTACATCGTACTTAGTACTTTTGAAAATCTTGCATGTAAGCGTTCTTGCACGTAAGCGTAATGATTAGTCAACCTAAGAAAAGGTGGATTTATGAAAACACGACGATCAAGATCACAATATAGGATAATGTGTAACAATAGCGAAACTTCGAATACTCTCATTAATGAACAAAAAATTTTACAACTTCTGACCAGATTTTTCCGATTTTTAATATACACAGAAAAACAGTACAAGTAGGACTAACGAAAGCAAAACAATGGAGAAAACTGAGATAATTTGATGAACAAGTGGAGGAAATCTCTTGTGAGATTAGATTTCGAGAATTACTGAAGTACCACGTCATGCACTACGAATTTCACACTTTTTTCACCATGCGAACCAAAAACTTGTTGAAGCTAGGGAGCTAATCCATTTCGAACTCTTTTATCTGGCTATTAGAAACGTTGACTGGCAAAAATGGACAAGGAGCTAAAAAGCTGCCTATTAGCAGCCACTGTGACGAACCTTTTTCCCATGTTATTGAAATTCGCTGATTGCAGGTTTACGACGCTGGAGTTATCCAGCTAGAGGGTGGATTCCCAGGTGAAAGCAGGGACTGTGTCAACTGAATCTCAAAGCTCTTTCATAATTGCTCACAGATCACAGTAATTGTCTTTTCATTAACAAGTAATTGTAAGAACATTTCACATTTACGGAATAAAGAAGCCCTTCATCAAAAAAGCAAAGTAAACATTACTGAAACCAGATCCAGAAATGCGAAGTGAAGCCTATCTTTGCGTTCGGCATTTCCGAATTTCGCCTTACAATGTTGTATAGCAGAGCTCCATGCCACTTTATTTTGAGCTCGAGATGTTGTTGCATTTCAGAGAAGCAGAAAGCCCGAGCTAAGATGTGAGCTCTCCGTTCATCCCGGTGCTCTAAATAAAAGATAAAATTGCATCCATGAATATCGTTAAAAATGATGGTTAAAAACAAGAAAATACACTTTTTGGTGATTTGTAACTCGAGATCAATCCGCGAATCGACACCACTCCAAATCAATTGGCTGGTGCCACAACTGCACCGGAAAACAAAACCCATAAAAGAGTTATAGTGACACCCGAAAATCACTGGAGAATTTCCAAGAAATTAGCGCACTTTTACGCCCACAAAAGAATGAATGATGAAATAGCCCAGTACCAGCAGCCCTCAGCTCATGTACTATTTAATGAACTCCAGGATTTCACGCCTAAAAACATGCGTCAAGGAGATTAGGATCTGCCGTCCAGCGAGCATACGGGTGACAAAAATCGATCGAAGAGATGACTCTATCAATTTGATAGAAGAATAAGCATCATACTTACTTTTTCAAATTCTTTTCCAGAGCTTCCATCGTCTGTTTGATTTTCTCAGATTGCGCTAAAACTCCGGCTCTGTCATAGACGTCATCCAAATCTATACCAGTTATATCGAGACTGGGAGCATGCTGAAAACAAAAGAATAAGCAAGCTTATGGGATGACGAGATCTTTATCGAAACACATACTGGTTCTTCTCTTCGAAGTTTTTTGAATTTCCTCAGCATCGTCTTCACATCATCCATTTGTATAGGCTGATGTAGATCCAAATCTAAATTTACCACGTTTCCAAAAAGATGTTTACGGATCTATTAAGCAGGNCGAAAAAACATGCACTGTGAACAGTCGCACTCACAAAAAGGCTATCGAGCCTTACCTTTCATATTTGGTGTGAATAAGGTCGACCTAGCAGTATGCAGAGTTACGCCCTTCGTCATGGGAAGCGTTAAGTCCTCTTCTAGACCAAAGGCATTGAAAGAAAACAATTCGAAAAAACAAAAAATGAAAACCAGAAAGAGACTGACCTTCCTCATCACTGGAGACACATGTTTCACCGACTTTCATTCGACAGTCTGCTATCATTCTGTAAAAGAAAATTGTTACCACAAACTCATATCAAGAGTTGTGATCCTGTAGAAACTAACGCTCTGGTGCGTTTGGCGGCACGCAGTCGAATTCGCTCCATATCGTTGCGTCGTTTCAATGTTTCGGGATCCATTGGTACTCGGCTTGGTGAGCAAAGTGCACTTGTTGACATTAAATGTTGTAGCACAACCTGAAAATAGGAATATAACTCCCTATAAAAATTCACTATAAATTCCATTATTATCCAATTCCCTATAAAAATTCCAGTCCTTTCAAGTTACTCATTGCCATCCAGAAATGAAAGATAAACTGACTGAGTATAATGAGCATTTCGTTTTTTTCCGATGTGAAAAAAGCAAAAAAACTCACGTGACGCGACTTCACCAGTTTGTTCAGAAGATTCATGTGATAAAATCTGATATAGTGATCGTAGAGAACTTTGTTATTATCCCTGATTTGATTCTGTTGCGAAGGGCGATCAGGATTGAACCATCCATCTGAAGAATCACACATCTCTTGAACAACTATACTTAGGTGAGCAGAACCGATGGATGGAAAATAAGAATGGTCCATACTGTAGCACTCACTTTTCAACTTCGATTGGACCTTATTAATTGGATTCCCATGGACGAGATCCGTCCGCTTTGTGAATGCACATGCAAGAGCATGTTGTTCTTCAGCGACAGTTTTGATCGGCGGCAGAAACTGCTGCAACATACCACGTAAAATTTATGAGGCACTCTTCAGTTCGTATTCACAACCGAAAAATCTTCGTTCGCCTTCGGCGTCCCTCGGGACCACTCGGCCCGGCAGGTGCCCTATGGTTTTGAAGCACTTGATTGCGCCATACTGCTGGGAAGTTTAATGATAGCAATTTCGTTTTTCCATAAAGCACCCCTTAAACGTGATGTGCGCTGATATTGAATGCATTCGAGGCTATTACAATTTTATAGGCACATATACGTTCGCTTCGATAAATTTACATGCATTTCCCATCGCTAAAAGTATCGGGGATGCAAAAACAGCTCAATAAGGAATTCCTAGAGAGGAGGAATGTCTGCGGCAAACGTCGCTATGAGACGCAAGAAGTACCCGCGTACTGTGATTGATGTGTTATGCCCTGATTCAAACCAACATAAAGTATACTAGGTAGTTACAGGCAAAGCAGTAATTTACGTTAACCTGAAGAAAAATTTAAAAATGGAATATGAGACTGACCCGGAGATGAGCTCGAGCTTCTTCAGATAGACTATAGTAAGTTTCAGCACAAACGACTTGACGAAACACATATTCCTAAAATTGTATACTACTTTCGAAGTACAGAGCATGACATAAAAAGAGAAGGAACGAACGCTATGAACTAAGATGCTTGGTAGAAGCAGGAGATCACCATTGAAGTTCACCCTTGTCACTTCCGCATCGGCTTCTTTACATAACGCTGAAACCGTTGATGTAGATGAGCCTCAGGTATGACAAGTATACTTTTGATTACCATCCAAATCCAGAGTTGAAGGTTCTATCAATGTACGATTGGATTGATTGCCATCACCCGAAGACTCCTGCAGCCGTCCCGACTAAATGATAAAAACAACATTATTCATAGTGCAAAAGAAGAAAAACAAAAATCAAAGCGACTAGTTCAAGCATTTTGCTCTACAAACTAGTGAGAACGGAAACCACGACGGTTTACCGACAGTATCTACAGAGTTGCTTCTGATAAGGTCCTAAAGCTGTACGAAGGTTTCAAGCCCACAACGCAAAAATCTTTTGTCACATTCATCTTTGAGCTTTCCATGAACCCATTAGCAGTAAACAAGTTTTGAGCGATGTTTTCAGTAAAAGAAAAGCTAGGATCAATGTTCTAGCTTCAATCTTCAAGAATAAATACATTATTCTTAGCACAAAGTGCTGTTTGTCTGAGATTAATCAATGTGGGCCGGGTCCAATGGTAGGCAGAATCAGCTAACACGCAACAAAAAAAAAGAACTGGCATGCGAATTGGGAGGTTGAGCTAGCACTTCGTAGCGTAATCTGGGTGTGCAAGTTAGCGTTCACTTTTGCAATGTAGACAATCTGCCTCAGATTTGGTCAAAATCAAGTTATACTCTCCCAATTATCAAACACAAACCGATGAACTGTTTGGTGGACGAGATTTCCGAGAAGGAGGAGCATCTGGTGGTCGCTCCTTCAAACGACGTGGTGGCACTGCAGGGGTTTTGAATTTGTGGTCATCTTTAAACGACGTTGATGAACCAGCACCGGAACTCTATAAAGCACAAAATAAGCAAAATGTGAAGCATTGAACGACACTTCTCTCTTCAATCCCGCACCCAATTGTGTAGGTAAGGATGTATGTGCTGAGTTTTCTAGTCGGTTTTACTGGATCGTTGGTTGTGACGAATCAGGTAAATTTACATATTTGAGAGGCATCCCAGAGTATAAATGAGCGCCCACATTCCGAAGATTCGTAAACGAAGATCGAGCTCCCAGTAAAGATCTCGATGGTAAGGTTTTCATGAGCTTTAGGACATGTACAGTGGGTGTCCCTTACTAACTTCTTGAGATTCATTCCACATATCCTGTCGAGTGTAATACTTTTGCTCGGTGTCCTGGATAGAAGCACTGCTTGAACACTGCGCATCATTTGCTGCAGCAGGATGATCCCCTTCTGAAGACATTCACCTGCAAACACCGCTAGTAAGTACAGTTAGAAGCCAGGATTCGGCTACCGACCTTGCATACATAAACTAGTAACAGCACTGGCAAGCTACAATGGTTTCATCATAACCATAAAGATATAGAGCTTTAGGGAACAAAAACATTGAAAACCTTCAGGGGCTTCAACACAAGATAGGCGTCAAATAAGGTCTGCCGAGAACATGGGTCGTACTACGTATTACGCCCGAGTTCACGACAAATCAGCATCGTGGTCTAATTTGTCGGATGCCTTCTAAAACCTCCAGCTTTACATATTCAAAGCTACTTTCTTCAACTTACTCTGTGGACAGTCGTTTCACTTTTTTATGCAAGGAGTCCCACCTCGAATTGGCGTCTGTGGGATGGTAAATCCCTTTCCACATCCGGTAGATTGTCTTCCAGGAGACCAACTTCCGCAGTGTGCAATGTTTTCCAAGCATTCTGACGCCATTTCTGCTTGACTTTTGCTTTATTCTTCGACCTTACTTCAATTTTAGGAGTCTACTTTGTTTTAAACTTCGTTCTGATGACTTCGAACTTTTAAAAACCTCTCAAGCTAATATTTATAATGTTCAGATAGGCGACTTACTGCAGGCTATGCTGTTATATTGCTAATAATGTTATTGCACTACCGCTGATTACTTACCATGTTAATGGCGTTGAAGTATATATCACTAACTATTATTTTTCTACTGTTGATTACCGATAAAATAAGAGCACAAGATTATTTGGTAAGCAGCCAAGATATCTCTTTGGAGAAGTTTTCTTTGAAGTATTATACTGCTAAGAATTTTCGATTGAAGGAAGAAGAACTATGCGATATCGAGACCAAGTCTCCCTGTTCCATAGAAGGACATGAGGAATGTCAGCCTCAAAATGCATCAGACAAGGTGATCATCATATATTTGTTAATACATCATCACAACACTTCTTTTTATTGCAGATGTTTTAGGGTTTTACGCTCTTATTGACTCAGGTTTTGTTTGGATAAGTTTTTGTATTTTAGATAGGTGTATGTAAGTGTGTTTCGGGTTTCGCACGAGCATTCAATGGCGCCCCCTGTCTTCCTCTGAACATCACTTCAAAAGAAGTAACCACTATCTCGTCAAATGAAAACAAAGGAACTTCTACTTCAGCAGCTAAGGTTCGTTTTGAAAATCCTCTCTCTAAAGGTTTTGAAAGTTCAGAATTTTAGCTGTTCTATGCTTTCAGAGACTTCTAGAATTCTCATTGGATGGTCCTTCAAAAGTACAGTTACCAGTAACCTCGGTAAAAGTAGAAGTGAAACTACGCGATAGGGATAAAGCACAAAGTTAGTTGGCTAACATTTGCTTTGCGGTTTTTTCATGAGAGAGATACGTCTCTTTGCCAATATCTAATAGAGGTGGTATATCGTTTTTTTTTCAGGCGACACTTTTTCCTACCTCTGGGAGTTGCTGCAGGGAACAGGTCTAGCGTTTGCTTCGTCATATAAACGTCCAATACTGGAGTTATCCCAGGTTTGTGAAACTTCGCTTGTGAGGACAAAGCCGTTTTTCCTTTAGGACGTCGAAAGTTCATTCCGTTTAGCCAAACTCAAGCAAGGTTTTGAATTGAACTTTCTGCTGAAATCCCTAAACTGGGTTAGCTCTTCAGCTTGTACACTTGACGAGAAATATTTCTAGCTCAAAGAAGGGAAACTCCTTTTCCGTGTGACGGTCTCAAATTCAACTCATTCTGGTCAGCAATCGTATGCTTTGACAGTTGACACTGCAAAAGCACCAAATAAGCCACCTCGAGCAATTATCCGTCCCGAGTCACCGGTACATGGCGTGGAAGGCACGAGATTAACGTTGGATGCTGAAGGTGCTCCTTGATGATCTTGGCCTTCGTCTTTAGTGAATGAGAATGTTCACAGTTTTCCTATTCCAGGCAGTGTTGATGACGATAAAATTGTTGCTTACAAGTGGACACAGGATAAAGGGCCTAGCATTCCTTTAGGGGCCATGAATACACCGATTCTCACTTTGGATAACATGGTCGCAGGAAGCTATGTCTTTAGGTAGTTTCTTGGGAGATTAATGCCCTTTTTGATGCGGTGCTAGCTTTTCATGACTTGACGATAAACCGCTCTGCTATCGTTCATCTTCATTTTCTGTTTGAAATGCTTTTGCAATTATTTCTGCGATATCCTTAAAATAGCCTCAGCCTTTTAGCGTACAAGTAACCGATAGTGGTGGGTTAACGTCATCGACATCAGCTCGAGTGGAAATTGAAGCAGAGCGCGATGATCCACCAAAAGCTCACATCAACGAATGTGGCAGTAAAGAACACACTGGGTCTCTCACTGTTCGTCTTCCATTGCCTGAGCTCAATCTATGTGGCAACAATTCGATTGATGACAAGGTAATTTTACCTTTTTTAGTTCTTCTAAAGTGAACTCGTACTTCATTCAAGTCAATGATTACGAATTTGGAATTGAATATCTCATAATGGTTGTCGTATCGAACTCAATACACTAATTCCTTTAATTTTTAAGGGTATCGTTTCGTACAACTGGTTTCGAGTTGATAAATTATCTGAAAAGCTCTCAGTTGACACTGCTGGTCAGTTTGTTTATCTTTGGCGTTTGTTATTTTTGTTTTTCTCAGTACCATGAGTTTAACAATCAGCTCTTCTTGTAAATACCAGCCGATTTCCATTATACAGGCTCAACCACAAGCATACTTACGCTGCGAAATATCCAAGCAAACGAACGATTGGGCCCATACGAGTTCCAGCTCGAAGTAACGGACACTAAAGGCCAAAAGGACTCAACGCGAATAAGTATTTTTGTGAATAAAGCTGAAAACTTTCCACCAGGTATGAATGAAAACTTTACTCGTGAATAGTGCTGTTTTGTCTGCACACAAAGAGTTATTCTAGTCGCTGATGCCGGTGGAAATCTCACGGTTATACTTCCTGAAACTGCAGTTGTACTAAATGGCAATGCCAAGGACGACGGAAGTATCGTAAGCTATAATTGGACGCAAATTGAGTAAGCTTTCGGTCGACGAAAGAAGTGTTCTTCTAAGTTACTTTAATTCGTGATTAAGTGGCCCATCTCGAGCTTCTTTGGTCAATGCTGATAAGGCAAAAGCCACTGCTTCCGGTCTTCAAGAAGGAGTTTACCATTTTTTGTTGACTGTTGTCGATGATGGAGGTCTTAATGGCACTGCCTCCGCCTACATTTCCGTGGAGCGAGGTGAGCATCCGGCAATTAATTCAATTTTCATAGTTCTTACAACTTTTTACATAGCTTTTTCATAGCTGGCTCGTTTAGGTAAAAACGAACCGCCTATTGCACGTGCGCCTAACGTCACGGTACGTCTTCCAACTTCAGTAGCAGTTCTCAATGCATCATCTTCCACTGATGATGCTGGTATCGTTAGTTTTCATTGGCAGCCACTCGATAACGTACCAGCATCGATGGTGAGTCTGCTACGGTTTACTTTTTCGTGCTTATTGTTCTCCTAATTGTTGAATAAAAGAGAAACATTAAGATTGCCCTTGATGGTACCGAGAACACTCAAATAATGTTTGTTACTGGGCTCGTAAAAGGGACGCATGTTTATAATTTGACGGTTTACGACCAACAGAAGTCAACGGATTTCATTCTTGTTCATCTCACTGTCGTAGAAGGTGAGTGGTCGAGTAGTTTAAGGTTAGCCAGTAGGAGGCATTGCATTTTATATAACACAGTTTATCTAACTACGCCTTTGCAACAATGTTCATACTAGCCTCTAGCACATCAGATCTCTCTTGGTCTTTCTTACCTAAGCTGTGTGTTTTTCAAGGTGACGAAGAATTGGAATCTGTGGAAATCCTGTTGAAAAAGAGTATTGAAGAATGGACATATCGCCTCCGTCGGAAACTTCGGGACCGAATCGAAGCGAGCCTGGCAGGATCCATCGAAGTAAGGAACTTTGGTTTTTTGTAGATGTAAAGAAATGTATTGATCGTAGGGGTGACAAAGAAAAAGGATGTTTGTGGGTTGGTGGGATCTCTTTGAATTTCGAAAAAAAAAAACGAATTTTTGAAAATTTGAAAGTTTTCGAAGATTTAGAAAAGGATACTATTAAGCACATTAGCAAGCTACAACTCTGTCAAGAAGTAGTCATTTCAAATGATAATATTTTTCAGGAAAGCGACTCAGTGGATGTGCATTTCACAAAATTCGAAAAACTGCCACAGGATGGTCGCCTGCGAGCTGTCTTTTGGGCTAAAAGTCATTCGAAACAGGGTCAGTCACAATACCACTCAGTTGTTTCATTAGATCTGTTGAACTCGAAAAATGTGGAATATTTTTTGGTTAACAAGCTCTTACCACAGATGGAAATATGCGGCATAGGCGCTTGGTCACGACAAGTTCTGGTGTAGTAGTGAAAGCTGAGCGCGCTGTGGCTATTTTGCGACAAGAGACAAGTATGCTGTCAGATTTCCAAATCTCAACTATCCAAACATTGTGTGAGTATAATTAAGCATTATGTTCCTAGCGGCTTTTGGACGTGCTGTTGTTTTGCTTCAGATTGTAAACTTAACTGTTCCGGGCATGGTAAATGCAATGACGCGACTAAATTATGCGAATGTGATAGCTTCTGGATGGGAAACATATTCGCGTATGCTATGGCAGGCTTCAGAAACGAGGATTGTGGTGAGCTGGCTTTTATCTCAAGAAATATGGGTGGGGAAGATTGGACTAACAAAAAGTATATCGAATTTTTCACATTCTTCACTAGTTAAGATAAAACTCGTGTTTAGCGTGGTCTTCTGTCTACTTCTGGATGATATCGTTTTCACTCGCTGTAGTGCTTGCACTTTGCTTACTTTCGAAAAGAAGATCATCCGTATGGAACCGAGTCAGCAGAAAAAGATTTCGAAAGCGAAAAAGGTGCGATCTCGGATTCTTCGTGGGTTTCATTTTAAGTGGACCACCAGTGCTGAAGTATTCCCCTTCTCGATTCAGATATAACGCTCTTCGAAGCGAATCCGAAGATTTGGAAAAGGAAGCCTATCGTTTGCGTAATGGTTAGTTCGTGTGCCCTTTTATAACTTTACAGGAAATAAATTATTGATATTTGCAGAATAGTGAAACCTTGACACGCGCGGTATGTCAATATTATAATAATGGGTATATCTTTTCCCCGAATTTCTTGTTTGGCTTTGTTGATCCGGAAGTCTTGAAGCACACTTTTCTCACTAACCTCTCTTCAAAACTCATAGACGGCATGTGTCGGGTATGCCCTTTTGAAAAGCACGGGGAATACTCTTACATCGAACAAGGAGTAAGATCTCTCTCAAGACTCCGTCGTGGAGAAGGAAAGATTGAGTTGAAGGATGACTCAACAACTTTATCTGGGGCTACTATTTGATTGAAGTCTTGGTGTAAACAGTGAAAAATTCACATTCGACTTGTATTACTGCCTAAACATTCCCCTTGTCGTTAGTATTCACAACCTTGCTAGCGCTACGATAGGGAAAATACTTGACAATGACTAGGGCGAAGTAGCTCTGGGCAAAATAGGTCGTATCCTTACTGAGCTAACTGGTTACCATGGTGAAGGTGAAAAAGATTACAAAGTCAATCAAAAAAAATCCAAGATATGAACTTTTATTCTAGATTCATACACCTATTTGTGAATGTTCGAAGTCTAGGCATGCATCCAGTTGCCCATTTATAACCCTTCTAATTCATTGGGATATGGGTGAAGTTTCCACTTGCACTTAACCACACCATGGGAGGGTTCTTTTCACTGTCTCGCTATCCTGCATAATGAGTCCACTTTCAGGTCCGCGGCTAGCACCGCTTCCAATACCTCATTCTAGTGATTCACTCGATTCGGAAAGTGATGAGCTGCTTCCTATTTCGGGTAGCAACCATTCTCTGCAATTGAGGGGACACACACCGGAAAAAAGCACCTGATTGAGATGATCCGCAATAGTTATTCGTTCCTAGTGCTTTAGCGATCGTGTTCTATCAGCATCGGGCGCAAATGTCATTCACTTCTATTTCTCATTACAACTATTTAATGCTATGTATAATCGCTAATTTTATTTTGGAAGTGCCCTACGCTTTAGATTTTTCCACACGTTTATGTACACGTGACATTCGGGTCTCAATGTGATATTTACTTATTTAAAGAGATTTGAAGCTGTGAATAAAAGTGTTCTAACTTTTTCTAAAAGACATGCAACCTAGAAATTGAAACGCGCTGTGTGCTATGAGGATCAGTTACACAGAATTATGCATACTTTTAGCGTCATTACTGGGCTAGGACTAAAGGCTAGCAACACATTAGAAACGAAGCGAAGAGCTAACGGCTGTCCGACGAGCTCACTACCAGTATCAAACATAAAATAGTAAATAATACTAGTAAAGGACAAAAATAAGGGGAAACGTATGAAACAAACTTATTAACCAAGGTCAGATGGGAAAGTGAAGAAATCGGCACTATATTACACGAACTTTTTCTTCCAAGTTTCATAGTACTGATAGATACTTTAACATGGGACTTATCCCATCAATTTGCTCACTAAATAAAGTAGAAATATTTATAAATAAATAGATTGCCATATTAGCTATTTCAAAAAATGCGGCGTCATTGATGTGCTTTGGTAGACACACTAAAACCAACGGGGGAGACAAAAATCTCATCTGAAAATAACGATTCGTTGGCACGACTGCTTACTATCTGAGGCCGAACTTTATGAATCCCTTCGACTCGGAACATCACATGGAATGACAGCTCACATCGCGGTGATGAGATTGACACATGCGGAACCTGAATATACCAAGGCTGATAAATCGCACTCAAAGCGAAGATGGATACTAGATCGAGTGGTTATTCGTCTGAGCCCCATAGTGGCAGTGATTTTGCCGACGAAAACGGAATAGTGGAATTTGGTGCGAGATGAATTCAGAATAAAAGAGAGAAAAGAGACTTACACTTTTTGGTACAACGAATGGGATTTTCCGTTGTCCAATCACCAGTAAATTCTCGCTTTTATCCACAGTTCCAAAGAAACTAGATATTTCTTGATAGCATTCCAGTGTTATGATGCCATCGAAATCGTCTGAGAATGAGATTCAATTAAATGTATCCACTATCAAAAAAGTATAAAGTTAATAATATTATGACCAAATACAAGTAATAATTAAACTACATATAACTAATAGTTCAAATATAATAATATTCTGTAAAGAAAAGGCAGAAATTTAAAAGAAATTACACTCCAGTGAAGAAATCACTGCAACTTTGATGAGCACAATTTCACCGATTCCAACAGAAATATCATCTTCGCTCAAGTACGGCGTGCCATTAACCGAGATGTCTAAAAGAGAGGCTTAACGGTTAGGCAAAAAGTAGTAGCTGAGTAGAACACCAACCTAGCGATATGGCCGGCAAAACCAGTTGCTTCAGTAGAGATACCGATGATAAGAGTGCTCCAACAGGTACCAGTCCCTCCAACTGAACATGAAGAGGGATTAGCTGCTTATTAAGTTGCGTAATATCAGTTATTCATACATTCATTGCTGGAATCGTCCATCGTATATCTAAATGTTTGGCAACGTGCAACTCTAGCGTTGCTCGCAATTTTTCAACCTAAATACATAGCAATGTAACAGCAACTAGAGATACGGTCAGCTACGATGATCACTAGTCCAGAATAAAAAGCACACCTCCAGCTTCTGCATCATATGACTATCTTTCTGCGTTGCTGCGTGGAATGCGCGCCCAGCGACATCAGAACAGCAAGGAGATAGAAGCGGAACTCTGTAAGTTCAATAAAAGTAGAAGTCATAGAAAAAGGGCAGTCTGAGCTTCATCATACTCGAAGGGATCATTCAAGTGCTTAAACAAGTACTTTCATACCCCAAAGAATGTGCAAGCGGGCAATTGCATCTTTCTCCGTGTTCACCAATGCAATGTACTGCGCTTCGAACCTATACAAATCTAGGCCATGTGTGTCTCACGAATAGGGGCTAATCGAATCAAAAAGGAAAGATTTGAAGGCCAATCTATCTGCGTAGTCCTGCCGAAAAGGCACTTTGTCCAGTCACGTGACAAGTAAAAAGCATGGTAACACGATCAACATAAAAAAGAAAGTATCGAAGATCTATCGGCTCACCTACAAGTCTCCTTGGGGAGTACGTTCATTCTACGATTCGAACTGTAAACTAGTTCTGCATCGTTATCTGTACTATTAGTCACATCAACGACGATATATCTAGTGAAAGGACCATCACCGGGTAGAACATGCCAAGCCGATACAGTCACTGCAGGCACAACACATACAGCTATCGAAAGTCGGGCGGTCCTTTCATATGACTGAAAACAAGCGACTAAAAAGTGTACAAGCAGAACCAATAGTTTACCTATAATCATTAAGCAAAGGCGGAAATTTAAAGCAACTCCCTTAAGGTTGATTGGAGGATCTCTGAAATGCGAAAGACATTCGATTTGCGCGGGTGAACTCCATATCAGAGGAAAAGTAGTGCTTTACAAGGACTAGATTCTGTGTAAACTTGAAATCTCGAACGTGAAAGCGACTACGGAAGTATTTACCACCGCCTAGCTACTCCTTATGTGGTTTACGAAGGATGGCGGAATTTAGTTCTAAGCCTTGATCCAGTTTAAGTGAAGCCGTTCAAAACATCAATGGATTGATACGGGAACGTTGCGTTAGAACTTGTGTTGATTGGTCGTGCATTCACCACGACCCGTTCTAGACTAGTCAACTATTGAAGAAGAAAAAAAAGTTTTCGATAGGACCTTGAGCACCAACTCTGAAAAGAATCTACCTCTTCGTTCGGTCCGGTAACATCAGCGATATATTGAAATAGGAACTGACAGGTGAGTAAGCGACCAGTGTACGGTATCAAATCGTGCGCTTCACTGTCAGGAGTCATTTCAGCTAACGTTGACGCTAGTGGAAGCACACTTTCGACTATCTGCAAAAAATCGAAAACAGTTCAACTTAAATATATTTATGTTGTAGTTGGATGAGGTTTTGAAGCTGCTACTTCGTGCAGCGTCTCTATGGATAATGGTTGATGAATGTAGGAAACTACGCAGTTTTGAAATCATCTAGGCCTATGCATAATAGTGTTGAACCGCAACAAAACGCAGACTATATTAATAATAAAATTCTGGCTTGGCCGTCTCGGCTATTTTCCTACCGTCTTTATAGCTCTCATTTTTCCTTTTCTTTCAGCAACTTAATGAGGTTCCGGNTTACCCTTTCCTCGGAGCCTTCATCATCGGCTGTAGCCGTGGGATCGATTCCAAATATTTTGAACTTAATCTCTTTTTCCTCCAGTGGCGCAAGTGAGAACGAGCCATCATCATCTTTACTTGACAGTTCAATCATTGAAGGGCCACCCGAAACCTTGAAAAAAGAGAGTTGTATACGTGCTGTAGGAAAGACGATTTTAGGCGGAAATAATGGTTGGAAAACACTTGTTATTAATGAATTAATTGATACCTTTGGTTGCCATACTTGAAGGAGCACTTTACGAATCGCAATGGTAGAGCTGCTGTTCCTTACAGTGAGTGAGTGCTCGAACCTGCAAACGAAAAGAGGCATAGCTAAGAACACTAGTTGCAAGATAGAGTAATATCGTACAGCTGCCCGGAGTATACTGTGATCTCCGCGCTTCGTTCGTTCAGATCTTCCTCTATGGGAGCACGGGGTAAAGAGGACTCGAGTTGAAGAACAGCTAACATCGGAAGAACTTCCACCTTAAAAGCTGCAAGGATTACTATGGCTTCAAAGAGATGTGCGCCAACTTGCCTTCAGTGGTCCTTTCGGTCCAAAAAGTTTACAAACATTTTTCACACCAAATACTTCGCAGCAATAACCCGTAATTGTCAACAAACCCGGGAATCTGAATGTATAGTCATCTCAACAAAAGGACAATGTAAAAACTCACATATTCTTAAGATGAAAAATGAGCAAAAGCAAGAGAAAAGTTACAACTGACCTAGGAACTCCAATAAGCTTGATCCTCGCGGGAGCTCCCTCATTCGCTGCAGGAAGAATAAGGCGCACAGGAACCGACTCGAAACCACAGCCATCAGCAAGTAAACACAACTCCCTAGACTCAAACCAATATGTCCAGAGCAAACAAAAACACAAAGAAGAATGAAAGAAGAATTTTCAGAAAAGATGTGAAAATTTATATGCAGACATAAGAGATAGTATATACGTTTCCTCACCTCACTACTAATTCGTAAGGTCGACAATTGTAAACTAGAATTGAAACTTCACCGGGACAGTCCACTACCCAATAAATTTCTGTAAAGAAGAGTTTGGCTTGGGATATAATTGTTGGCAAACAACGTTTAGGCAGAGATAGGGACTGTGAAAATGAATAGCATCACGAACCGTTTGACGCTTTTTTCTGCTGAAATGGAGAGTAGATAAATAGCTGTGGCTGTCCAGCCTTAGCTTGTATAACTGTTGGAGCAAGATGCGGTGGAAGCGGACAGAGTACAGGATCACTAAAAAGAAATTTCCTTTGTTAAAATTGTCAAGTTGATAACACTTGACTAGACACTAAGAGTAGTAAGAAAACCAACTTGACCACTGGAAATCTCGTCAGCTGGATTGAAGGAAGGATAATATTTCCAACTGGCACTGATATACGTTGATTCAGCTGTGGTGGGCTTCCTTTAATACGTACGAAGTTCTGAAGGTCATCGAATAATCGATTTGCTAATGACGGCTCCATATCGTCGTAGTAGACCTAAATATGATTTTTTACAGTTTCTTTCACTGATTACCGAAGAGAAGGCGACGATGGTTCAGTTCAATGTGATAAGGAGCAAACCTGAATCAAGTGACAAAGGTGTCGAATAGCTGCATCTGTCAGCTCTGCTCGCGAAGCGGCCGTATATACCTCATGTAAGGCTTTTATTTGCAGTTGGATAGGACCTTTAAGTACTCCATCCTCCGCGACTTCACGCACGTTTTCCTTTATCCCATAACCAGGAAGTGTTCTGAGAAAAAATGGCGAAAATAGTTTCTTTCATCAATATCTGTCAAAGCATTTTGTAGAAATGAATCAAGCCACTGCCATTGTCGTATGTAATTTTTTACGTGAACCAGAAAACTGTATATGATGGTTTCCTCGTGAGTGGAACAATACCAGTAGAGTAACATAAGGTAAGGTGGGATCTGGGGTTCTAAAAAAACACTCCTATCAAAAGCGACAGTTCTCTATTAAACAGGAGGAAGGGAGTCTTTTCAGGCGAATTGTTCCTAAAAGTGATGGTTCTCACCTATAGAGGATTGGATACACAGCTCTGTAGTCTTGCGGGGTTCTCTGCTCGCCATCAGCAATTTGAAGTCGAAACAATACCCCAAGGCGAGCAAAAAATGAGCACTTTCGCCGGAATCCCACCTAGATGGGAAGTTCATTGAAAAGAACATGAAGAAGCAAAAATACTGCAGCGAAGCCTTTCCATATCTTCACCTCCCTATACAATGCGGCCGAGTTGCTGCATATAGCTGCTTTAGTATGGTTATCGAATCTTGTGAAACTGTCGTCCAGATATTTGCCAATGTGATCACGATGGAAGGTCTGAAATGAAATGCAAAGGTGACAAATGGCAACATTTTAAAGCCGCGATAGCGAACATGCTCGATTCACTCATTCCACTCAAAAGGCAGAAAGTGTAAAAGAAAGATTAGGACGTCTAGAAACAAAATTATTACAACAGCAAGTTCCGAAACTTCACTAATTCTAAGGGACCTCTAAATTTACGCCTTCAAACTTGCGACCGAATATGAAACAATAACGCAACGTACTTCCATATCGACATACATCCGCTGATACCGATACAGCGACACGGCCTTCATCATACAATCGTATTCTATCATAGCGGCGAAAGAATATTTTGAATAGTGTTCCAATGCTTGCTCGAACTTCTCGATAATTGCAGAGGGTTCAATTTTATCCTTTGACCTTAAAATTGCTTATCATAAGCTATGCTGCTTCAGTATTTCGATGCTTAGTGGTGGAATGAAATTTCCTAATAAAAAGCTACCAGCATTTACATAAATATGCGAATGATTGATAATCACCATAAAAGAGTCTTAAATTGTGACAGAAATTCACATTTTTCTAGGTGCATCAGGCATCAGGATTTCAACGGAGCCTCTAAGATCGTCCCGCTTAACAGGCCAACCTTACTTATTTCATTCGTTCGTCTGGATGACGGCAATCAAAACAAAAAAGAGGACAGCTCAATTTAAACATGCTTGTTCGGTCAGTTAGGGGATTAGTTAGGGGAAACAAATTAAAACCAGGACAGAAAAAAGTAGCTTTCGTAGCCCACCAGAGTAGTCTACCAGAACAACAAAAGCGGCAACAGAAATAGCAAACCTTTCCCCTCGAAGCACTGCCCATGGCATGCGAGATCGGCGACCTTCACTTCCATCGTTACTATCGTCAGAAACAGTCATGCGAGCATTTTCATCGGAACGGTGACGCTGGTGTCCTAAGGATGCCCTAAAAAGGTTACTTCAGCTGCTCATAGCTTGGACAAATGAGCTTGATTCAGGGTTTACCCTAGCAAATGCTGTGATGTAGCAACAGCACTTATAGCCGCTCCCAGTGAAGGAGTAGTGATGTCTCTCATTTGTGCCGGAGTCATGCTTGCTACGCGATACATTGCTGTACATGATGATAGTCCATCATAAAGAAGTGACATCGCAGCGCATGCCCATCCCTCACACGCCCCTGCAAATGTGCGTTTGTAAGAGCTTTTCAACGTGGATAGAAGGGGCATTTTATAACTTATACGTAGACGCGCTATACATATGTTCTACGGACCTGCAAACCACAGCATGTCATTGGAGGACTTAAGAAGGTCCATAGAGGCAGCGTACGAGTCCAACGCCAGTTGAGGGAGTCCTGTTAACATGGCGTAGTCGGCATTTTGCTTCCGCGATCTTCCCAGACATTTTCTCATAAAATAATACGATTTAGTGTTCGAATCTACAACAATTCCATTTGTCTTTACCGTTATCCAGCTAATATTAGTCAACGTCACAGGCTCTGCCTAGACACAAGAGACCTTTTTTTTAAGAATTCAGAAGTTCCGTTAAAACAAGAAGCAAGAAATAGGGGAACACAAGAGCGCATGTACAAGCACTGACGAAGAACTACGGCTTAAAATCGCAAACAATCAATCATGGAAAACTTACTTGTACATCTTTGACGTTTTGTTCTCTATACCAACTCTGAACTTCTCTTCTTCTGGCAAAATAGGGCAAGGAGGACATTCCTGGAAATGAACTGCCCAATAGAGTGCAATGAAGCAATTGGAAACTCAAGCCAAATTCAGTAGCTGGCTCTGTTTACGAGATGTAGCGGCAGCCTATTCACTTCAATAAGATGTTCACGTGCTCCGCTTAGTTCTAGACACTCCTCTGTTTTAACCTTAACTTTTAAAAACTGATCTTTTTGAAAGGCTTCCAACACCGCCTTTTGGCCCTTCTATAACCTTCAGCTGCTCCTTTAGAAAGGAACCATATCTTACTGGAGAAGTCACGATGTTCATTCCGCGGAAACTTTGTCAAAGACGACGATGTGAGCTAGCTTTTTAGTGAAATCAACTAACCAACTTTTCGAACGACTGATCGACGCGCTTACTTTCCAGTACAAAATAAATAGCACGCATGAACTCTCGAATACCCGTCTCCAATTCATCGGATTCTTCCAGTCGATTGAAAAGAAATATCTCCCGTGGCGAAAAGTGAGCCGACACATCTTGCTGCAAACAAATCTCTCTTCCAAATCCCATATGTTCAGTTCAAGAAAGATGAGTAATTCTATGGAAAAAGCATGATAATGGTGGTATAAGCCTCGAAATCACCAATTGAGCAAAGTAAAGAATTCGTTACTGCCTACATTATGATCCCGAAACGTGAAAAACCGAGAGTGAAATCACAAGAGAGGTAGCATTCGCCGCTAATTAATGCTGAAGTATCAAACGTGGTCACTTTGTACCTCGTACCTAATATGTGGGCAGTTTCGGATGCACTCACACTAAGGTTACTGACCGGTAAAAGCTAGAAATTAGGACTCGAAGAACAAGAAACACAAAAATGTGGGAAACTTTCCGTTTTCTGATTCGAAAATAATATTAGGAAATATCGTATCATACCTCATCATATCCTAGTAGAATACATCGGCTATCAACGAGTGTATGCGCGTAATCCGACTGAAAATGGGAAAATTCGCAGCTCTACTGACAGCAAAGTTTGCAATCGATAGTTCAATCAACTAAAAGTTAATGGGTAAAAAAAACGACTTGTACCTTGACTTTATCGTAGTTACTTCGTAACTCTTCCAAAGTTGAGCCACCACTCAATGACGAGCGTCGACGCTCAACTATGCCACCACAAGTCAGCGTAGCATCATCGACCGATGAAGATGTCTATAAGTCAAGTATTGATTTAGATTCAACAAAGAAATTCACTCTGCAAAAGAGCCTGACACTTTTCCGAACTGCACCAGTAGAAGTCGATGGTTGGGCACAAGCTACCCCAATGAGTCCGGATACTCTACGGTGAGCCTGGAAATGAAGGACATAGTAGAGAACTTCTCAATTCGACAAAAGAAAACAAGACCTGAAGCTCTCCAAATCTGACTAGTTCTGCATTCACACTCGTAACGAAGTTGGCATGGAAGGTACGTTTCGGATTATCGCTAACTGAAAGATTCCATTATAAGCTTGTTCAGAGTGAGCTAGAAAGGCAACTGTGCGGAGCTATTCCGAACTACTTCTACTACCAGTTGGAGCACGATGTTGTTACTTTCAATAAGCCGATAAGTTAACAAAAGGAGGTAATCGATAAATTCCTCGAAAGTATTTTGCCATTCGACAACAGGTGGGGTTGGATATCACTTGGTCTTCATACTCAGGCTGGAAACCCGCATGCTATGATAAAATCAATGCAAAAAGCAAACATGCGACCGTGCTTGCATGTGTATAATATGACGTTAAACCAAAGCCCAGAGCAGCTTTTTCGAAGTATATCCACGGGTAACAAGAGTGTAAACTCTTTTGTCAACATGTCAGATCAGCCAAATTAGCTTGAAAGAGGTTCAGCACCCATAATACTGAACAGATAATAAAGCAACATACGGACTCACCCTGAATGGAGCGCTGACGTGCCAAGCGATCGACGATCCGATTGAAAACAGTAGTGTTTCGAGGACCTACTTGACGAATTAAGATCGTCACCCGCCGATGATCTTCAACACACGGTACGCCATCCATCCGAGCTTGAATTCAACTCAGCCAGGCCACATTTAGTGAGACATCGGCGGAAATAAACAAAAAAGTAAACATCCGATCATCATAGCTCCTACACGAAGAGACTGGCGCGCATATTGGCGGCGGAGCTATGGTCAACAAGCAAAGTGACCCCGTCAATTTCTCCCATTCCATCCTTCGTGGACACCTAACAGTATTAAAAAGGGAACACCGACCTGGGAGGGAAATTCAGAGGACCAAAGGGAGGATGCATAATAAGCAGATGTCGTGGATTCCATGACAGAGGTTTGTTCTGATGATAAGTGAATTCCTTAGGATTCCTCTCAAACCACTTGAATGAACCTTTCGAGATGGAACCGATTCCTTTATGTACTTCCTTCTAGGGTTGTACTGATGGAGTTTGCATGGACACTTCTCATGAGCCGCACCGAGCAATTCACGAAAAAGGGATGCTGGAATTATTTCATCGAAGGGATCAATGTCAGTTACTGCTAAACATGAAGAATTTAATAAGCAGGTTGTATGGGTGGATATCAAAACACTTATGATGGGAACTAGCTGGGATATTTGGAACCCTTTCGAACTCTACAGTGGCAAACACGCGAAATAACTGGTTGTGAAGTGAACAACAACAATTCCCTTTAGAATAGCGAGCCGTTCTGTTCTCATTAGTGGCGTCGGATTGCTGGAAATTGTTGGAAATGGAAAATTGATTTCGATTTGAGTGATTCACTTTGCCAACTATTCGTAGCGATTCGGTGCCGACCTGTTGGTTGCATAAGCTCTCCTAGGAAGGGAAACGCCCAGGCTAAGCTAGTATAGGATCTATTTGATCCTACGGAATTGGACATGCGGTCAGTGCAGCTGCAGTTTCAATGCCTTTACTATTCCTGACGGGAATTAAGTGCACGGCTCATCCCAGTACTCTTTATAAACGGCAGTTCTTCAGCTATTTTCTGTTGATGTGGGTGAAACAAGGTACACAGTTGATCAGCTCAATCAAGGTTTCGATGCAGTTAGGTGTCCTTTGGCACAATTCAATTGTTTCAGTCCCTTCACGATAGTTAAGGCATGGCTCAACCCAATAACCCAATGGCTTTTCGGGTTTGTTGGAGGGCCCGAAAATGGGTATACTGTGAATAGAAAGAATTCCCATCCCAGTACGACATCTTATCGTGATCGATTAATCGATTGACCGCCTCATAAACAAACATTTAACTAGTTAATTTGATTTGTTGTTTTATTAACCATTGTTGTTGCCGGTACTATGCCGATATACAAGGCATAAAATCAGGGAAAAGTGAATTTAATTGATATGCCCCTACATCACGCCTACACTTATAGCCTTACAGAGGTTCATTAACGACGGTAAAAGAATGCAAATTGAGCTTTGGCAGTGTAATGGATAAGCGTGAAGCCCAGAAAGCACTGGTACGGGTTCGAGTCCTGGTCAGGATAGAACGTTCTGCCAATGAGTTGGCACTCTTAAGGCTTTTCAAATTATCCATCGGTAGCCGCTTATGTCTGTTGATTTATTTCAAAGCCTCGGTTCACAAAAATATCACCATTTATTTATTTTCAGGTTTTTGGAATGGACAACAAAATAAGAGGCAGTTAAGATTTATCGATGTAAAGCAGAAAAGTGGCAACGGTTACTTCCCTGATACGATATATAGTCAGGAGAGTGATATGTATGTACAAAACTCTGATTCAGCAAAGTGAGCATTAGATGAAATTCTCTGTATGGAGATCAGTAGTAGTAGGAGTAGAAGGAGCTGGAAGTTGTAGAATCAGTTAAGAGAGCAGAATCCTTCCTTCTGAGCGACATCGACCGGAGATAGATCAGAAGTTTGTTCAAGGATCACACTATGGAATTCTTGGCGGAATCCTGTGGTGTCCTGTAGACCAGTTCTGGTTCGGCTCTGCTGAATACCACTCTATCGGGACTACGTCCTCGTTTCCGATCTTTTCTCAGGGAACTTCGCATTCCATGCGGGATGTCAGGCAAATCATCTGGATAATTGCTGTAGTAGAGCCTGGAACAACCAGACATTACCACTTGGCGAGAAAAGAGCTCGTCGAAGAAATAATAAAATGATCTCTAAAATTGATATCACTAGAGTTCGTTACCAAGGTTAAACGCCTTCGATGGGACCGAATTCCCTGCCTTCAATGCCATAATAGAGGAAAGAACATTCTAGCCTTCAAAAAGTGCCCATCAACCATATGAGTGGCTTGATATTTTATGTTATGAAGACTCCCTTTGAAAGAGCGATACCCATAGGGAGGACTTGGCAGTTAAGTGGCTCGGGACTTGTAGAAATTAGCTCGCCTTTCGATAGCTTCAGCTGCGGTATGCGGTCTTCGCTCCTCTTTCCGTCGTTCTCTTTCTAGCTTGTCCACTTTCCATGGGAATTTCGGATCGTAAGGTTCAGGAGCGAAGAAGTCGAGGCTGAAATCACCAGGGGCTTATGCTTCTGACAGAATGAGGCGGAAGAAGTGCCTTCGCGACAAAGATTCACCAGTACAAGTAGACAGACAAGTACTACCTATGAAAATACGTTAGAAAGGCACGACTAGTACAAGAAAAGTGGTTCAAATAGGATGAGGAATGTATCACCCAGAACACAAGAGATTTCTTTATTATTGTCAAGCACTGACTCATGGTCAAAAAAGAGAAGTGAACATCTAGTGTAGAAATTAATATCTAGAATCAATGATGAACCACTAGTAAATACTTCCTGACTGGCATCATGACATCTTACACAAAAAGCAAAGCTCACCTTCCATCATCTTTCCGAGGAATTGACATTACGCGTGGATCACTGGTGCTCCGTCTGTCACGTCTTCTAACCTTCTTCTGGAGAGGTGGGTCAGGAATCGCTGGCCATTCTTCTCTCCAAGGAGGCAGGTTCCTTGGTGGCGAACTGCAACGTTCCAAAGGAGTCCGGCGGTAGTAGGCGGTTTGGAGTGGAGCCCCAAAAGAACGNGACGGTGGTCGTGAAGACGGTCGCTGTAAGAAAACTTTACGAGAAACAAATTTTTCTCCTCCAGGTACCCCTCTGTCTGAAATAGTGGTTCTCGAAAGACTTATGAGAGCCAAATGGAAGTATTGTAGGAAGTTATAAGAAATTATGATGTTAGTTACTCTGGTAATGAGCTTTTGACGCATACTTAATTTTTTTTGTCATTTGTGTAGAGTGCATTCTTGTAAAGAAAATTATTATGGAAGAATTGCCATTGCCTTCGACTATTTATGGCCACTGAGCGGTGTGGAACGAATATCAATTATACCAGTTTTTGAGCGAGTCAGTTTAAACAAGCCAATTGAACTACTGGTACTTCGTAACTGGTATGGTCAGAAAGGTGAACTCACTGTTCTGGTACGTGAGCCGCTTCGTGAATGAGCCGGCTTATCTGATGTAAGTCTTCCAATAAGCCTCCAGTAGAAGAAGATCACAATGACTAGGCAGATTCCCTAGAACACAGGCTCAGAGCATTCAATCCATCTTGTTCGGACTTTGACTTTGTTTTTTTAAACGGTTCAATAATTGAAAATCAAAATCAAATATGAAATCGAAAAAGCTGTAGACTCATCAAAGAATTTAATTGAATTAATAACTCACATTTACTGCTAATGACATTATGAATTCAGCGACGGACATAGTGAGCTGTTCGTTGAATACATCCTTCAAAAGGAAGTATTTTAGTGAGTTTGTGATTGCTATCTACATACTTCGCACACTTTCATTTGGTGAAGGATGCGAAAACTCCTAATGAATAACCTAGTTTCAAAGTCGTTCTATTCTGGAACGACGCTATCCGGGAAGTAAATTGAAATTTTTGAGCTATTGACTTGAGCCTCGGTGTTTCTTTTTTGTTTTGTAAACAGGTAAAAGTTAACAAATAACAACAAACTCGAAAACTCACTCCACTCCACCATAGCACTGCGTAAGCCGTAGACATGATTATTATCGGTGCAGCTGAGAAGATCCACGGCCACACGAAATTTTTGTTGTACTAAATACTTGCTGGTAAATAAAGGGTAAGGAAACAGAGAACAAAGAAAACACTTTGGCTATTGTTTTTGAAAAAGTCAGTACTTTGCTCTCATTCAAATCTCAGCACAACATCTCAAACTTTATCACCACTTTATCTTCTACTGCTTGATCCCCCTTTTCAGATCACAAAAAAGTATTTTCCATCACTCTGTCAGGAACATTGTGGGAATCTCACAAAAAGTGACCACTGCACTGAGGCCCCGGTTCAGAGCGAGCAGGCGCAGAAGGAGGGCGAGGAAGGGATGGTCTTACTGTCAAAGCCATTTTCCGCTGTTCAACCCCCATCTCTCTACATCCACTCTGAAAGAATGGATGATCTCTGCCCCCCTCGCACATGTAAAAGTGAAAAGTGGAACAAAAACGGAGTGAAAAACCAACAAATCTCGCCGAAAAAGAATCGAACCATTACTAACCTTGATGGCACCGTAGAGCAGGGCGATTGACATGAAGAAGTGCACGAAAGACAAAAATAAAGCCACCAAGACAATGACGAACAGAGCTTAAAATAGGGTCAAATTAAAGAGAAATCAGGAGTGAATGATCAATGAGATGGACGAGTACACACCATTAATCCTTCTTCGTTCAGGGGTTTCTGTATAGATAGCATAGAGGCCTGGAAAGCGGGCTTGAAAGGCATCAATCCTGAATAACTTGTCCCATTTTATATAAAATGAAGTTTAATAGGGCAGAGAGGAATAAAGCTGTGTATAACAAAGCCGTGAAGGTTAATACAGAGAAAATCCAAAACTTTGTTTGTATTGAGTGATAAATCTAGATCATGTCCCAGAGCTTCAAGAGGGGGAGAGTTACACAAAAAGAATTCTTGAAAATAGATGGTGAGAGTCTAACCCTCCAGTGGCCGGCAATTGTCGCCCTTCATACTCCCATTGTATATCTCGGACGACTTTCGTTTGCCATCCCAAGATCCCCATTTGGATCAGTGCATAGATCTGAAAAAGAAAAAGATCAAAGGCACGTATAGAAAAGTAGTAATCATGATAAAAAGCTGTGTATTCACAAACGAAAACACTTAATGAGCTAATGATTATCGCTAAAAATAACACACCCGGCTCGAAGGGAGTGGTGAGTCCGGGAAAATGAGAAATATGTATGGATAACAAAGATGGTTCAGAGTACAACTTACAATATTCCATATTGCGATGCCGATGGTGGTATTACGTAGACACACTAATGGATCAGCCATGACCAGTTTTTCACATGGCTGAATAAATATTTTTTAGAAACATAGCAATAAAGACCTTACAGGAATAACACGGAAAAATATGAACATGGAGGAAAATGAGAAGGAGACTGATCAGACTAATAGCGGCTCAGTGGACTACGTTGTTTAACTGTTTGTTTGTTTATTTGCTTACAAACAGAGAATCAATTCAGCCGCTTCTTCAATTGCCACCTCAAACGTATGGAAGGACATACACAACTACGACTTTCTCAGCATCATCCTTAAATTGATAACTTGATCTACTTCTTCTTTATCACTTACTGATGATCCCTGAGACAGGAAAGGCATATCGTGTAAAGTTTGGCTCCCGTCAGAGGGCATGTATGGAACAAAACTCGAATAAATTATTCTTTCCCGTTCCTACTCCTCTATTTTATGTATGTGAGAAATCGTTCTGAATATGTTCTAATAGTACCTAAGTCTCCAAGAATCCTAATAGGAATTATACTATAGACATAAAGAATTTATGGAATTTGTAAGGACTTGGAAGACAAAGTCCCATCACTGCTTTCCTTTCCTCATTTGGCTTGAATGCACGTCGCCAGATGAATCACCAATTTCTATGGATCGATTGCTACGACTATTCGGTGAATCATTCAAGAAATCTCAAAAATCAATCGAAATGACTAAAAGAAACTGTCATCTAGATCTATCGTCTCCAAATGATGGGTTTCTAAACGCATTTGCTTTTTTTATCCAATTGTGTCTGCCTTTATTTGTTTCCCATGCAAAAAAGCCATAAAAACTCAGGAAACACTGACTTTTGATGCTTGGTTTGGTTTTGAATATGAAAGAATGTGGAAATTCTCTCAGCGGACGATACATAGGAGCCCAGAAGGGACCAAAATCGAATCTGAGCCCCGCAATGGGAATGCTAGGTAGTCTCAGGTCGATTTTCCTGTTTTCGTCCTCTTTTTTGCTACTCAAACCTCTCGTAGGTGAAATATGCAGGATGGAGACGGAGAGAAAATTAATAACTAAGATGAAAAATAACGATTGGGTATGTACTGAGGGCAAATTCAACACCAAGAAAGCCAAAATCCGGAAAAAATTAAAGGAGTCCGAACGGCGGAGAAATAAAAAGACGTCTGAAGACAGGTGTGTCGTCATCGGTCAGGTGAAGAGAGGGTGGTGCTCAAGCGCACGACATTATTGACCGATGCAAAAGCAAACAAACGGAGAAGCAACCAGCTAGGTTCTGGTCCGAACGCTTGCAACGTTACATCCTCGTTTGGCTCCCGTAAACTCATCTCCCACATCTCTGAACTGGAACTGAACTGTGGATGAATAGCTCAAGGTTTCCAAGAATATCCTTCCTTTTCGGATTGGAATTTTTCTTCCTAGCTCCAGATTGGGCGGAGTTTTCCGTGATCACTTCGTTATAATATCTGCTCTTACTGGATAGGGTGTGATGTGTCAGAAAATGTTTCTGAAGCGGCTACCCCTTCAACTATGGATAGAACGCCAAGCTGGACATTGTGCATTTGGCGAACACCAAGCAGTACTACATAACTGTGCTGGAACATGCTCGATCGTCCTCCTTACTGGGCTGTCATCGCCTAACTTCAAATTCTCCCTATAAATGAAGAGCCTCCTGAGCAAAAACCATTCACCCGATATCTGCTAGCGTTGGTCAATCACTAGTAGGCTGCTGGAGAATGATGCTTCTACGGGGGTGGAGGAACTGTGGCTTGCAAAATTGAACGAATCAAACAACGCATACTTTGGTCAATTTTTCAAGCGATTTCAAATAATCGCACCAAATAAATTGCATTTGTGCATTTTCAGTTGATGAACAATAATATTTACCCGCTGAATAGTTTCCATCAAAATAAAGCACCAAAAGGAAAGCAAGTTTCACAGGAAGACAAACAGGAAACTCGCCCTTAAACGGAATTCGCGATAAACGGCTACTATGCAGATGACCTGTTAGAGGGGAAAGTATATGGTTATCGGTCGTATTCATGGCAACGAGCGAGCTGGATCGGATTACGACGTGTGAGGTGGATACTGCGCGGGTGGAGAACGAAAAGGGCCAGGTCAGGAGGAGAACCCCTATTGTTGCCATCTTTCAGTCGGTCCGAAATATGGAAGACTTCTTTAACTGAAGAAGGTGGTCGTTGGGTCTAAACTCCAGTTGTCGTTAATGAAGTAAATTACTACCAACTTCACCCCAAGTGTTGATTTTACCTAGAGGCTTGGAACTCTTGACATCCATCTAAGAGAGCCGCCTATGAAGCTTATTTGCATCATCTCTGCAACAGATTTGCTAGTATTTTAGACTTTTCCAGTTCTTCAAAAGTTCATATCGAACTTGTTTCAACAATTTTGCCCTTTAAGGGACATATACCTGTAATGTAACATTAAAATAAAATGGATTCAATTATTACATTGCTTTAGTAAAGGATGGATTCAGCAGTACTTAGCGTCAGCCTGAAATGGTTTCCTTTCTCCTCTTTAGGTGTGACAATTCGATTATCGGACTTCATAGCTGTGAATGGCATGAAGAGTTATGTACGCCTGGGGGTAAAGTTGGTAGTAATTTTCAGTTAAAAATTTCTGTTGATCTCCACTTTGCTTTCTAACGCGCTTGCAACTGAAGTCGATTGATCTACGTGGGATCGATGGCTGGATAACGACGCCCATCGCCGCGAACTCGAGACGCAAAGTGGAGGGACGTCATTCTGGAATAACGGGATAGTGTTTCTCCACATAGCCCTTTCTGAAGTCGAAAATCCCATATGTGAAGAAAAGCCCTCTCAAACGGAGCGCTCAAGTAACAGGTGGTGGTTTTGAGCTCCTTCCCTTGTAGTGGCGAGCTGCTATCTATAGACAGGATTTGGCATTAGAAAGAAGAACTGAATCATTCTCAGAATCCATACCTATCTTACCTACTGGAATCAACATGAAAGAGTTTCGCAGATGAAGTACAAGCTGATTATCAAAAGTTTTCGACCTGGACCGCGTTTGGTCGCTGATTGTCAGAGTCTTTAACTTGGGAATGTTCTAAGAACCAAGTAGTTTGAAAGTTTTCTTCACTAGGGGGAGAATTTCAGAAAAAAAAGAATGCCATACTCGGGAAAGCACACCTAAAAAGTATGTCACCAACTTCAAATTACGATGTTACTTGATTACATATTCAATGTAGTCACAGCCTTTGTAATGATGTTCATTACAAAGGCTGTGACTACACTTTTATTTGATGCGGTAGATGAATAATTTAGTTTGCTCCATGACATCATTATGGTCAACTTCGTTTTGGATTCCCTTCAAAACCACTTCCTGCTTTAGAATCTGCGAGAATATTTCTTGAGTTTTTTTCTAATCTCCCTACTCATAGAGCCAGGAGGTCAATCTCAGGTATCCCTGTGACCCCAGAAGTTCGGGGATGGACGGTATTAGCCACCTTTTTGAAGGAAGAATCGTACAGTTCATATGTCGAGGTGCAAACATCTGGCATGACTCCGAAGGGCATGACTCCAAAATCATCCACAGTTTTCCGGCGAGTTTCACATGACCAAAATTATTTACTTATCACTATGACCTGTCTAAAGGCCCAGGATGCACTTGAATTAGTCTAATTTTAGTAAATCAAGTCAAAATATCCTACCAAATATTCGAAAACCTTCCATAACCTTCTTCAGGGCTTTTCCCTGTAACTATGTACTAGACGATACAGTCGTTCTATGGTGGAAGGCTAGGTTGTAACAATTCATCATGGAGGAAAATATTAACGCAACGAATTTATGGCGTAGTTACCTGACATTGTAATTGTCTTGTTTTGGAGTTATTCGATTACTACAGCAATTAAAGATTAAAATAACCGCAGATGTTTTTCATTTTTATGTACTGTTTCAACTAAACTTCAAAGCTCATGGAGCAAGAATTGCCCGGGAGTGTTGAGAACCAGTCAAATTCAAGGCTGCTCTGTTTACCCTTACTTGACCAGTCGGCGAACTCTATCTCAGAGGACGTCAGAATCTTTGGTCAGCCCTTCGACTTTCCACGGAACTTGTAATCTAATAGAAATTTGAAAGTTTCCTGGCCAAATGGGCATTCGATGGGTAAGGACAAGCTCACTGTCAAAAATGCTATAAGATTTGAATATTTCATGATATGAGGCAATGGATGAACGAACTTAACTGTCGGCAGGTAAGCTTTAGCGAAGGTGTTGAGTGAGAGCAACTCGAAGGACCTCTGAGCGCGATGGTGGTGTTTTCAAACCGGCCTTCAAGATCCCACTAGTTTCTTCGCTCGCCTTTCGGATATCCACTTGATTTCCTTGATTTCCTGAATTCTCAGGCTTACAGTGATTTCAAAGTTTAGCCGACTTTGCAGAAAAAATTTCAAGTCGTTCATTGAACCATCATCATGACTGTAAATACTTACGAGGAAGCTGATGAAGGTGAATGACTAATTCTCATGAAAGCACTCAACTACCAAGTGCTTAAATCCATCTTTCGATGCTGAGGTTTGCTAGATTTATTCTTGCTCTTATCAGAGCTTATATACTGAAGCTCCTACCCCTATTCGAAATTAGACCCGATCCCTTTACATGAACGTAACCTGGGTCATGGCTTAGGAGACCATTTGTGCATCCCCAAACTGACCAGTGAGCAAAATTGCACCCCGCATCGATGGGAAACTTCATTGGCCTGAAGCCTTCATATGTAGTGTACTCACTTGGCTTGTTGATGACCATAAGGTAATTTGATTTTAGGGCTACGACTCAGTTGACTTAGTTTTCCGTCACCTTCAGATACTCAAGTTGAGATTAATGCGAACTGAAGCTATGTGTAGCACATATTTGCAGGGCTGGCTGGTTTTTTGAGTAGTCAGCGTCCCCAGTTGACATTTGTGCGAAAACGTTCAGCGAACTGAGCTTGAACTCTTTTTATTTGACCAATAAAAAAGATGAATCTGAGTTCATAAAATGGGGCTTACTGAGAAAGAACCTAATAAAGAGGCATGATGGCAGGCCATCACGCTTCAACAATGGCCATGAACCTTTGTTTGGTGCATTAGGAATAGGGAGGAAGAGGCTTCAAGAACAGGAAGGCCAAAAAGAAGCAACGACAAAGTCACTTCTTGTCGATCAACTCGAAATGCTCCGTGCTAGCATCAGAAGGATACTGAAGATCAAGGAAACTTTAGTTTTGTAAGCTCCCATAAAATCTATCTATGGGCACATGGAACTCTTCACTCTTTTCCCAATCTAAAAGTCTGTTCCCTTGGGACTCTTCTGAAAGAAGCTAGTGTAAAGGGAACCAAGAAAGCTAGGTTTTCTTACTGATATGCTCTTCTGACCAGATAATACAGAACAAAACTAGTCCACATATTTCCTAAATGATAAGCGTAAACGGTCTGTTCAGATGACTCACTGGATAGATTCAAGCCCTTTCGACCCGTCATACCGCTCCTGCCCCAGCGATGGATAATCCTTGAGGCAGAAATCGGAACTGAATCTCATACAAAACAGAGCGCTCCTTCCTGTTAGTCTCAACATGGGCAGTTTTGAAGATTCACTCAATCCAAAAAAGGTTTTCATGGAAAATTTCCATTCTGGGATGAGAATCCTGAAAAAATCTAATCGTGAGAGCCCATTAGCCCAAAGTCGAAAAGAAATTTCTCCAGTCAGTTCGTCTCGAGACAGGTTTTTCAAAATCTAAACCTCTCTTTCAAATGAAAATTTTGGCTAACTTCTAGAAAATGACTATTAATATTTCATCTCACATTTGGATTAAGCAAATTTCACTAAATCAAACAAAAAGAATGTTACTCTGGTGCTATATTCTTGAGCGATGGACATTGCTTTCATGGACAGAAAAAGAAGATGATTGAAAGTAGTGGGTGGGTTTTTTGAAGGGGAGCAGAAAGCATCTCCGACATTGATCAATCCAGTTCAGAGACGCTTCCATATTTTCGACTTTCATTCAGTTCGAGTTCTGGTGGTGGAGTTATGCATATGTGGTCTATGAGGCAGCTTCAGGGCTTCGTAATTCTCTTGTAGGGGTTCAGTGTCATTGAGCTGGTCCCTGTGGGGAAGGAACATTGTGGTGCGTCCGGAGACGTACCTGGGAATTGCTTGGCGAATAAACATTCATATAATTCCTTGTATCAATCATACCAATGTGCTTATTAGCAGCTCGAACTCGGGCTTCGTCGCTATTTTGTGGACATGCTTTATGTCTTGGGATAAAGGGTAGAGTCTTCCAAACCGTCAAGGATTTCATCTCATATTCTGAAGCGTTCATCTCGGCACGCACCAATCTACCCATACCCTGTCACTGCGATAGAAGGTTGAGCTGCTAGCTAATATCTTGGAAAAAGGGTCCACTTGAACTTGGAGGGGAGGGGAAGGCATGGGCACGTTTCAAAAGTGGAGTCATCGATGTCAAGGAAGCCTAGGCTTCCCTCTTCAAAAGAATCGCACACTACTTACCGTTTCTCCGTTTTCTATCCGAAAAATCAGTTCCAGAAAGGCATTCTCTACTTGTTCCGAGGAGAAATCGCCTAATCAAGGCATCCTGTTGGGGATTTGTTAAATGAGGAAATCCTGTTGTAGACCAGCTTGAAGAGTTCAAAAGCTTTCGGGGCCATCAAAAACTTTTTTCCTTCTGTTCGTTTTTTAATTAGGCATATTTTCCTTTCAACCATGTTTTTCTTTCTTTCAAGTCGTTAGATTATGTATGACCGTGGTTTTGCATGCATATGCGATCGCTTTCGTCGGTAATTACCCGTCCAAAGTGAAGTGAGTGTCATTCAGTTTGGCCGTATTAAATTTGGCCCGTAAATAAGACGTGACACAAATAGTTTGGGCCCAAAATCAGCCTCAACAACATCTTGGATCTCCCAAGTCCAAAGACCAGGCTTGACATGGGTCTGATTGTTTTCTGTCACAGCTGATTCGAATCAAAAATGACCGCTCGCTAAGAAAGCAACCCTCCTTTCCTTTATAGACAAATGAGTGGTAGGAAGGAGTAGAAATCTGAGATGAAACGTCTTCACGAAGACCATTCTTCTCTGTAGATGGCTTCCAATCAGTTCTCTGGAAGCCGAGGATCTCCAGTGATTTCTCAGCTGTTAAAGGCACAGTTCACGATAAGAACGGTTCCCAAGATTTTGGTCCAGGATGAACCTGTGGCCCTCAAAAACAGTAGCTGGGGTCGAAAAAACGCCCTGGCGAGGGCCTAGTAAGAGCCCCATACCGGCTTGGCCGACTTACACACACCTTGGGTGTTGCCGCGCGTTGCCTCGGACGCACGTTCGTCCCGTCCCCGCTTCGCTAGCACTGCGCTATTCTGCACCATGTCTCCCTTTTTTCTCTTGAACTAGATACCTCAGAATTATAGAGAACTGTGCGTTTGACCCTTTGACGACAGCCGGCTCAACGGTGAGCCGCACCACTCTCATTGGTTGCTTTTCTTGATTATTTATTCTTTTCTTGGAGTTTTTTGTGCTTTATAGGTTTACAATCACAAATTGACAATAACACTATACACAAGGTGGGCTGAGAAAAACATTACTGAATTCCGAAAACTACTAGTAAGTTTGTTCCTGTCCCTGAACATCACACACTTTGTGCATTTTTCGAAAACAGTCAGTGCAAAAATGACTTTACATCTACTGCCCTTAATATTGGCTCGTCTTGTATTAATGGAAGCCAAAGCTCGAGTCAGCTGTTTGTAAGAAGTTTTTCAAGAAATTGCACTCTTTTTACCTTCCTGTCCGGGTGCTTTCATAGTCGACGATTTGGCGAGCGACTAGTCGCGCGATCGGTCGAGAAGGCAGCGTTAGCCATGGGCGCCGCCGAGCGATCTGTCGCTCCTCAAATCGTGGACTATGGAAGCAGCCTCCTCGACTTTTTTAGTGTCCCTTTCCGGCTATTCCGAGTACCAGACAAATGGGTGCTATGTTTTAGTTGGGGGAATGTTGAAGGAAAGTAGGTCTTCATGAAATTCTGCATCACTTAACAGTTCGTCTTCACTTTCACTGCCTGATATTGATAATATCTCGTTACTTTCCGAATCAGATCTATTAATCGTGAGTATACAAATGTCGATTTATGGGCAAAACTTCAGGCTCGGACGGGACTCAAACCCGTACATGTCTTTTCCGGGGACCGTGCTCTTATCCATAAATCGCCAATCTTGTGAGACTTTCGGAACGCACACTGCGACGATATAACAGCAGTTAACAAAAAACTTCAAGTCAAAAAATCATCTCTTATAAGCCCCTCCCAATCTACGTCGGGTTCCTCTTCGTCAATAGTTTCCGAGACCACCGAGACTCCGAGACTAATATAGCTTTGGGAGTCGAAATAGATCAGCCTACAGTGTACCAAAACGTCCACTGCAGGCTGATCCATTGCTCCCAAATGTATATTATGCATAAAACCAGAGTTAATAAAGTTGAAAGCTCATAAATATTTAGTTCATACCAATTTCAAACGAAATCATGAAAAAAAGAGCTTCGAAAGAGCAGATATTGTATATAGTAGTAGAAAAATGTGTCAACCGTGGTACAGCGTGGCTCAACGGTTAGCCGCGGAAGCGGGAAGCTTCAATACGCGGCTGATCCACTCACTAACTCACTGAGTGCTAGCCTCGTAGGTATAATTCTACCCNAGCCGGGTAGCCCGACCAAGAACCAAATTTGTTGTCCACCCATGGACTTCTTAGCTTCAGCGATGCGTGGCTAGCATACATAGCATCAGTTGAAGGAGTTTTTCTTTCTTCCGTTGCATATTTACGTTCTTTTACCATAACCACTTCAGAAATAGTGGATTGAATAGAGATTTCATGTAGTCGGAATCAGTATTACCAGTTCTATAACCCTGACGACGAACCTAATGTTAAATCTCAAATTAGGATTACCCTTGATCTTCACCTTCCCCATCGATCCGCACGAATCGACGTTCGATTTGATCTACGTCGAGTCGATAGATTTGCGAAATCAAGAAATCGACAGAGAATTTCGGAGAATTTGGTTTTTGGACGATTTCTTCCCATTACCCAAGTTGTTGGGCTGTTTTCCCCTGCTAACTTCGTATGCCTGGAAAGTGAAAATTTGATTGTCTCTGGTTCTCGCATCCACCGTATCGCTCCATAAACATATTTTCATTTCATTTGTAACTTCGTTGTTATTTTCAGATTCAGTAAGCCAGTGAATCTCCTTGGACTTGAGGTCCGATATACATCGAAACCTGCTACAGAAGATGCCCTCCACGGTAAAAATCACTTTCGTCGAGCGCCTTATGAGGGCTCGGTGGCAAAGGGGTATGTTTAAGGTGGGTGATGGATTTCCTTACCTTTCAAAAGCTTTGACTGTCTGACTTACTGGTAATGATCCATGAAAACACGGAAAATTTATAGATCAGAGTTGAAAAGCATTGAACAAACGGAAGGGAATCCCCCGAAAGTTTAGTGGGGAGCTTTATTGAGAACGGCTCTGAAGAACCAACTCCTTCTCTGGTATACGGTTGTTCCGCTAAATAAAAGTGTGAGTAGTTTTGATTTGAGCTAATAAATTGACCTCAACGGTGCAAAAAGTCTTTCTGCCGTCTGATACAGTTTGAACTTGGAACTTGCCTAATGTTCGGACTTCTCAGAGTTTTGGATGCCACCCTGATACTCATCACAATGTTTTCTTCTTTTTCAAAATGCATTATTCCAGACGATCGCCCATTTCAAGCTTGAGTAAATACAAAGGGAGTACGTTCATATGTACGACATATCTAACAAACCGCATTCGGTGGTTTTTTTGTCAAAGACGGCTTGGAATTGTTTCATTTCTTTCGAAGGGGCCCACCATTATTGAGGAATCCTATCTGGAAGCCGTTATTCTCGGATTTGATCCGAACCTTATCTATTGACTTTCACCTAAAGGGGACCAACGAGTTTTCGGCTCTAGACAGTATCTCAATGAAATTTACACTACTTCAGCCTGAAGACGGCCGCTTTCATTGAGACATAGGAGCTACTCAGTCGCTTCGCATGTTCGCATGCCTCCTTGGCTAGTAAAGCTTCGTGATGGACGGATATCCCAATTTTCCTGGTTAAAGTTACATCAAAGTGGCTAAGGTCGGCAGGTGCCCCGCCATGGTCCATCGCTAGCTAGCCTGTGAATGCAATTTCGATAGAAACGAATTTGCAACGGAACTGATTAGGACAATTGAAGTGTGAAATTTTGGATCGTTTTTCTTGGTATTGCACTTTTCAACATTTCCAACTATGCTTTGCACAAAATTGAATTATTCACGTCATATTCGTTCATGATTGCCCCTGAGGCCAAACTGACGAGCTTAGGACAGATCGGATTGATCTCGTATTGAGAAAAAAGTTTCAAATTAAACCCGAATCCCAACGAAAAAGGGCTATTTCCTTCTCGAAAACGAACCTTGAATACCTACAGCGCCTCGTTTAGCTCTCTGCATTCCTCGGAACTGGGAGCATAGAAGGTAGAGGACATGAATGACAAAAACGGTGGAGGAAATTTCTAAAGAATTTTCGCGAACATTAGATTTCCCCCGAAAGACAAGTTAGTTTTGAGGCATTGTGCCAGTTCCAGCATTTCGACGTCGCCAAGTCATCTATAGAAAATGATGGCCACAATCAGAGAGATGCATCTTTCGCAGTATCAAGGAGTTGAGAAAATTAGAAAAAAAGACTCAAAACAGAAAATTACAGAGGAAAATATAGTTCCTGCATTCATTTGTGCGACGAGGCAGCTAACTCCAGGGGCTTCTATGGGGCCTAAACCCTTTTCCGCCAGATTTCTGCTCCTAGTAAGGACTTTAAGGGATTCCCCTAGTGATTTATGAGTGAGTAACCACCTGGTAAGCTACAGTTTCCCCTGATAGACCGGATACGGTAGATCTTCATGGTCGCTGGCTTAGTTACTTTTGATAACCGCCGTGATAAAGCAGTACCCTTTCCTGGGCCAGTTGAGATTTTTATTTTGAAGTTCCACAGTGAGGGCGTGTGTATGAAATTTTCCAAGACTCGTTTCCCATTCAAACATTTCTATGATATGCCCTAAAAGTTCGACTGTTATATCCAATCCTAAGGTCCTCCTTGCCTAGCGTAGCCATCGGTCGCTAGGCTCCTCCTCTTCACTCCACCCACTCAAAGGAAAGGAGTTCCTTTCACAACATGCGCGCCGTCGCCTTGGTTGTCATCGCAGCAGGTCGGTGTTTCTTTTTGAATTTTTCACTTCCTCTCTACAACTATTTGCTCTATCATGATCTTATCTGAATCTCAAACAGTAGTTCATTATTTTATCGGAAAATTTTTCGGAATTCCTGCTGGTGGCACTTTACTACCGCTACTCCTGTTTAAGTAAGTTCCTTGATCACAAGAGCGCCCAAGAGCGAATGTTAGCGAAAGCAGCCAGGGAAATTCCAATCAGGATACTTTGCAATACTTTGCAGAGTTGACTGTCATTTTAGCCATTTTTTAAGCTCCTAAAGTTGTGAGCAAAATCCGTTCCTTTGGGGTTTTCTGTGTCCAAGCTGTTCCATTACTGATGTCCATCAGTCTTTCATTGTCATAGTACTCCCTTGTGGTTTCCTTGAAGTGTCTCCAAGCCGACTACAAAGTTTTTAGTACGAAACATTTGTAACATCGTATTTGAAATGGTATAAACATAAAAAATCTGGGTGGAAAACGTTATTCTCCGGAAATGTCGGATATTTCTCCTATATGAGACATCGCTATCCAATATCCAGGGTCATAAAACCTTTCCCAAACAAGAATGTCGGAAATGAAATGGGAAACGAAACCATCTCAGCATCCCTTTTAGATTTTTCTGGGCCGTCACCCCACTAAAACCTTATGGCTACTCATCTCCCATTCCAACCATGGGACCTTTGATGCCATTCGAAGGGTCCGAGAGCTTTCTTAAACGGTTCAATGACTTGGAAGGAAACGATCACTGTTGTCACTCAGTCTGAACGGCTCTCTCTGAGGGCTACAAATGACAGGAAAAGTAAGTTCACGTCATGAAATTACTAAGGACTTTGCTCTTCAATCCTGTGAATACTTAATTAATTCTGTGAAAATTCAGTATAAGGGATTACCGAACAGCAGTTAATTGCGGGAAGTTTGCTAGATTTTGCAAAAGACTGATCCTGAAAAGGACAGACTTGTTCCATACCTCTGCTATGCCTTTCTAGGAATACATGGACTTTCTCTAGAACGTTCATGAACTTCCCCTTTATACCCTTTAACACATGGTTGACTATTTCGATTTGCAGGTCAGGGATAACTTCTAGCTCATCTGGGCAAAACCTTAGGGGCTTTTTTTATGAGACGATTTTTTTACTTTACGCTACTTTTTGCTTGCACCTGGGTGCAATCTACCGAATGGGTTCTATACCAGTAGGATCGATGAAGCCGGCCAACCGCTCTTGCGCTGGACCAATCAATTCTTTGATCTCCAATAAATCAATCGATCCGGTGCAAGCGTTATGCAGTGCCTTTACCCAAGTCTGCCTATGGTTCATTGGCGATATATGAAAAAGTCTCGAGAAAGCTTCCGGAGTGGGGCTATTTTCCATATATGAAGAAAATATCTAAAAAATTTCTAGTGCTTGCCTTGAAGGGAAAAGGGGACTAGCAAGAGTTAACCAATTATTAGTAGACTGAAAATAATTCGACTCAAGCCATAGTTGGCTTCAGTGTTCTAATTTACAAAAACATCGTGAATTCATGTGAAAAAAATTCCTGGGAAGGCTTGTGGAAAGTCGAGTGCCGCATAGATTTCTCCTACATCCTGGGAAAGGGTTTTGATGAGCTTAACTGGATCCCGCTTATAGTAACAGGTCTAGTAGTACCCCGTTTTTCTAGGTTACTCATGAGCGGAATTTGAAGCAAGCTGATATACGAACCCACTTTCTAGAATTACTTTCATATTAGTGCTACCCACTATGATCCAATATCACGCCACTAAAATTTAGTATTTACCCGACTCCCACTCCCTTCATGTCCCATTAAATCTGCTTACCTATTTCAGTCACCGATTTGATTCTTAATGAAGTCCTGAGACTGTGCCTATCGCAGCTAAAGCCATCAGAACAATCCCGTCAACGAAGTAATTAGAGCAGGTGTTTGAGAGGCATTCAAGTAGAAGTTGAGTAGTACCTGTCCAAATTAGTAACCTTACCCATAATCAACTGAAAAATAGGAGTACTGGGAAAAGAATAAAGATGGGGTAGGTTCTTCTGTAGCAGGCTCCTTTAGCCGCCTTCTGAAAGTTTTTAATGAAGGAGTTTCGCTAAACTTCCTTATGTTGTCGATAGCAGTTAAAAGGCTTAAGTAAACTCCTATTTTGGATGACGTCACCTGAGCCGTTACTTAGTTGTTTACTTGTAAAGAATAAAAATAAAATAATAATAGTAAAATAATAAAATAAAATAAAATAAAAATTCTAGCGGTTTGATAACATTTGGTATTGCTAGAGTAATAAAGTGGAGGCGGGAAGTCTTTACCCCAATTAGGTCTGTTTTCCCACCAATTTGAGATCTCCTTATCACCTNGTCTAGAACAATGGATTGGAAAAGTTTCAAAAGGGAACGCCTGTACTTCTACTTCTATTCCTCTCCTTCCTTGATTCCGAACTTTTTGTCCCACAAGCGTTCACGGTGTATCATTGAGCGACACAAAGCTCATTTGTTCCTTGATTTGTTGTCACAGAGGAATTCTATTCATATGGGTTGGCATTTTGTCTAACAAGAATAAGCACTTTCATTTATCATCGCTGATTTCTGTTATCTCGCTTTCTAGAAAAAAGGGATATTCATAAAACGAACTTAAAACCCTTTTGGTTCTTCTCAAATCACCTGGGTATATGAAAAAGCAGTTCCAAACAAGTACATTCCATAATGCATCTATTCACGGTCTATAGATAAAATAGGACAAGTTAAGATCAGTTACGTACCACTCCCTAGTACATTCCGTAAGCCTATGGCTTTTACTAAATTGGGAGTTTCCCAAGAAAATCTCTAAGTACTAGTTAGAAAATTGTCTAATGGACGTAACAAATCCGTCTATTTTCGGGGTGTCTTCTGACGAAGATTATCCTCGAGGCTTTCTCTTCAATCAATCATTCCACAACAACAACAACAGCAGCACTCAACAGATTTAGCATTCCGAACGGCATTCGGTTAAGCTTCAATGAAGCAAGGCTATCGGGCCCCCGAATTAATGTTGCCTCCAAATTAAGGTTGGCATAAACACAATCTTATTGTCCCTAGAAGGATTCTGATCCTGGCGGTTACCCAAAACTTCTCCGGGATATGCTTGAAACCTGTATGCTTCGAAGTATCAGAATTCACAGCTTTTCTGCTGTAATCCAATGCCGGTAGCCAATTGCTGCTGGGATTCTGTCACCCTGAAAATCATGTTAGCGGATTTACATTCCATTTCCTGTTGGACATATGGCTGATTGGTGTCCAGCGTTTATAGAAATTCCAAACAAAAATACATATTATCGGCTTGCCTTGGACCACGGTAAAGCTTGTACTGCAAAACTCGCGCCAGTGGGGGTAGTATCCGTCATTATTTGGGATGTTAGGGGAAAGGGATCGTATAAGCAAAACTGCTAAGGGGCCGCGATCGACAACGACCTGATGAATTTCAAGGAATCTCTCTATAAGAGCTAATTATTGTACCCGTTGCACATCTATCCTCCTTTTTGCTTCCACTACCAACTTTTTGGGCTCTTGAAGTTTGTACAGGTGTGTAAGGGGTTTGGAACACGCTGACGGCCACATTTTCCCGGACGTCTTCGTTGGCTTTGTTCGGGATCTCGATTGGTGCAAGGACACCTCTGCATTAGGGGCATTATAGCCTTGTTAGAATGTACAGTAACTATCTTCACATCCAGTGATAATCGAAAACAATTAATAATTCCAATAAAAGGCCTATTCAGTGCTTCGTGATGAATATACGATGAAATCCACTAATGAACTTTTGGTTCGGGATAGTCATACATTTATAGACTTTGGATAAAATGTCTGATATACAATTTCCAGTTCTAATTCAAACCCTTCAGTTATTTCCGACCAGAAGCCAGTTAAGCCCCTCTGAACCATGCAATACAAATAGAGCATCTATGAAGAGAAAGTAAATGGAAGGTTTGAATGAAAGGAGCCTACTTCCTGTCGAAGCTATGAAAGGCCAAAAATGCAGATTTTTGTTGCCCATCTTGAAATGATCATGCTAGAAAACAAATGCAGGCAAGGTGGAGGTGTTGAGATTGTTTGCATCAAATTGAGGGGAATTTTGCTATATCGAGCTCAATACTCATGTTCAAGACCTTCGCTGAGCTAATTAGCCATTGACTTTCTCTAAAAGCTCCCCTACCTATTCCTGGCTAGATACTAGCTTGTACAGCTGAAAAAATTGCTAGTACAGATGAGTAAAGAGCATTTTCACCGTAGGCTAGAATGGCCGTTGCAGAAATTTTGAGATTTTCGAAAATGCCCTAAGCAGTGCTTATTCTCACGCATGCTTATGGATTGTACTTGGAGCGTGAGAGTTGAAAGGGAAAAATGCTTTACTTCAAAAACTACTTGAGTTCTTTTTGACTTTTTTCAGAATGGTTTTAATTTCAAGATTTCTGTTTTCCATTTTAACTGCACAAAAATCTTTCCCAACCCGGGGTCTGCGCCTTGGAAAGCAAAATGATAGGGAGGGATCGTACGGAAGTCCAGAACTGGAGAGGGTGGGTAGAGTGATAGGGAGCAAATCGCTCCATTTCCTTGCTCAATCGTCCTTTGGAGGATAAGCTTTCATCGCCTAGATTAATCACCTGAATACGCATTTGAAAGGGAAATCATGCACTTCCCTTCTAGATTTCCTCTTGGGTGAACTAGTTATGGTAGGTAGGGCTCATAAAGCGGTGAGCAAGCTCTATATGAGCTTTTTATGTCCCCTGGCTTTGATATATAGATCCATCCCCGTTCCCCCATTCCAAGGATAAAAAATTTTAGCAGCGAATTCTTCCGTGATTTGAATAGAATTGCCTAAATTACGGAGGTATTCACTACATATCTTGTCCTCCGGTACCATAAGATGTAGAGTAGATATGAGGAAAACGAGCAGAAACAAGCGTGTTGTCCTCTGGGCTTCGAACTTCGGTGATTTTGGTACCACCTTCACCGTCAGGTTTTGTTCTTCAACAGTTTCCAATTTATTTTGTGATACGAGCACCTTTTGTGCCTGACTTCAAAAATTCCAATAAAATAAGTGAG